GGCCTCAAGCATGTGCAGTCACAGTTTACGTATCAGATCCACGGCCAGGCCGCTCCTCGCAGGCCGCACTCAGATCATGCCGGTGCATGGACCGGAGTTGCAGTTATCTCCAACATGCCCAGTCGTAGTATCCCTGCCAGGTGGAGCCCTCAGGTGTGGGAAACAGCCAGAGTTGTCACCGCCACCACATTAGTGCATAACGTGTGGGTCAGTGGCGCGGTGGTGTACGGATATCCAGCCGGTGTCAATCACCCGGATGCGTTGAATCAGACCATCGCACTGTTGCAAGATGCCAGTGATCGCATAGTGCACCAAATGACAGGACCCCGGTACATCACAGGGGATTTCAATCACCTTCAAGATCAGCTGGCAATTCTTGCTGAGTGGGCCGAGCACGGGTTCGTAGAAGTCCAGGACTTCGCCAAGTCACGCTGGGGGCAGGAAATCGAAGCCACCTGCAAGGGGTGCAGCCGCAAAGATTTCTTGTACGTTTCACGGGAGCTTGCCCTTGCGTTGCGCCGGGTGGACACACACCCTGATTTCTTTTGTGACCACGCTGTAGTCCAGGCTACCTTTGGTCCCATCGGAGAACGGTCGGCGCAGTGGACTTGGCGCATGCCTGTAGCTTTACCCTCGGACCCCACCGCACAGTGGGACAACACACCAATTGCCATAGATGCCGAAGCGCACCCAACTGTGCAATACCGCTCTATGATGCAAGAGCTCGAGCACCGAGCCATGGCAGCAATGGGGCCAACAGTGCTCCCACAGCATACCGGACGTGGCACTGTGCTGGAAAGTGTGAAAAGTCGAGGCCCGGCCCCCTCCGATCAGGTAGGGTAGGTGAGGTTGCCCCTTTGTTCTTTGGGGGTTCACTGCATTATGCCCGATGGTTTCGCCAACTGCGTAGGTTGCAGGCATACACACAGCTTGTGCGTAAGAACTCATGTAGCGTCCAAGCCACGGTCCACAAAGTCGCATTGTGGTCGGCCATTGTTAATGCCCCTGGGTTCACCCCCAGCTTTGTTGAATGGTGGGAAGCCAGGCATGTTCATCGGGTAGGGGATGTAGATCAAGTGCCAACACAGGCACCTTCGTTTGAGATCGCTCAAGGTATTTTCTTGCCTTTAAAGCAGAGGTGCATCACCTTGAGTATGTCCTTTCACAGCAACGGTTTCAGCAAGCCAAACAGAGGCGGAAGGAAACCGCTCGCCTGGTTTTTCGGGACATTGCCAGGGACCAGCCTCTCCCGGTTGATGTGTTGCTCAAAACCACTGCCGCGCAGGTTACACAAGTGGATCAAACTAGCGGGGAGCTTCATCTCGACCAGGAAGTCTCATTCGTAACGGATCAGCCAATCCAACTCAACGGGCAGCCCATGCAAGCCATCATGACAGATGCCGACATGGTATGGTATAACCCCCTTTCATGTACGCCATAAGTAGGGGACACCATTGCACAAAATGACTGGAAGGGATCCCTACCCGAGCTTTTCACCGCCTTTCAGTCTGAATGGGCACAGCGATGGGATCGGCACCGCAATGTGACACCTGACCGGTGGGACGAGGTCAACGCCCTCATCCAGCATTTGCCAGATGTACCAGCTAGCCCGAGCATGCCCATACTGACCGAAGATTTCCTTCGCGAAGCACGCAGAAAGAAGAGCACAGCTGCCACTGGGCCCGATGGTCTGGCCCGCTCCGACGTGCTGGCCATGCCCACCGCAGTTGTAGATGGCCTCGTGCAAGTGTGCTCCCAAGCACAACTCAGTGGAGTGTGGCCACGCCAGGTTATTACCGGCATTGTTAGCTCCTTGCAGAAAGGGGACCGATCGTCTGTAGTAGGCGATTACCGTCCCATCACTATTTACAGCCTCACTTACCGAACATGGTCCTCCATACGGGGCCGACAAGTGCTAAGCCACCTCCAGCAGTATTGCAGTCAAAATGTTTTTGGCAACATGCCCAAACGCCATGCCAAACAAATTTGGTGGCAGACGCAGCAACGTGTTTCCTTCGCAGTGCATAATCACCTTTCTTTTGCAGGCTTGGTGTGTGATATCTGCAAGGCCTTCAATTGCTTGCCTCGGGAGCCGATTTTCCAAGCAGCCATTCGCCTTGGAGTCCCCGATTCCATACTTCGAGCTTGGTGGGCTGCCCTCCATGCCATGGAGCGACGGTTTCTCATCAGGGGTAGCATAGGCCCCCCCATCTCGTCGTGTACAGGATTCGCAGACGGGTGTGCGCTCAGCTGCGCAGCAATGGTGATAGTAGACATCCTGTTCGAAGTTGCAGTCAACATGCAGGTGCCGCGCACCACCCCGATGTCATATGTCGACAACTGGACAGTGCAAGCCGACCATGCAGATGATGTAGTAGCAGCTTTCCGTGCGGTGCAACGGTTCGCAAACGCAGTTGACCTCACCAAAGACCTCACAAAAACCTATGTGTGGGCGACCACTGCGAAGAGCCGCCAAACACTCAAGCAAGCCGGACTCACGGTGTCCCTGGGAGCCAAAGACCTTGGAGCCCAGATGAATTTCTGTGCCAAGTCCGCTAACAAGGCGCAAATGCGGAGATTGAGCGACATGCATGACATGTGGATCAAGTTCAAGCGCTGTTGTAGTCCGTACCGCGTGAAGGTCCAGGCCCTGAAAGTGGCCGCTTGGCCACGTGCGTTGTATGGAGCCAGTGTTGTTCACCTCCCATGGCGTGCTTTTGGCAGCCTCCGTACAGGGGCCATGCAGGGCCTCGGGGTTAGCAAACCGGGGGCCAACCCTCTTGTCCACATCGGATTGATAGAAGGGCCTAAGACCGACCCATGCTTCTTGGCTATCATGGACGCCATTAAGGACATGCCGGAGTTTGGCCCAGCCGAGCAAGCGTGGGAACACACATGTGAGCTGGCAATGCTGCCCATGGCTAAGTACCCGACTGGCCCGTGCGGGGTCCTCCTTAGTCGGCTGCATTGGCTCCAACTGGCCGTCACACAGCACGGACAAATTGCGGATGATGTAGGTACCTTTCATCCCACGCATGCGCCCATCCAGGAGGTCCACATTCGACTGCAAAGAGCTTGGTGCCGTCATGTAGGCCGCATTATCAGTGCCAGGCCCGGATTCGAAGGAATGGCCACCGTTCATGTGCATGCTTCAGTTGCCCACCTCCGAAACCTCCCGGACATGGACCAGGGAGTACTTCGGGTCGCGCTGAATGGCACATTTTACACCAATGACTCGCTCAAGCACATACAGCAAACTGAGTGTGATGCGTGCAGTTTTTGTGGAGCAGCCGATGGAATCATGCACCGGAACTGGAATTGTCCATTCTTTGCCTGAAGCCGATCTCGATGCCCTGGAGTCTGGGCCTCCGTGCCTTGCATTGCATGGATGGGTCCAGGAAGCCCGAGCATACAAGCCTTTCTTGCAAGCACTTGGGGAGCTTCCGGACACCCTACACCGCTATGAGCCATGCACAGTGACTGCCTCGGTCATCGACCTGTTCGTTGATGGGGCATGTAGGGATCCCACCGACCCTGCAATCCGAGTGGCCTCGTGGGCTGTCCACCTTGTCCAGGTTGGCGACCATGCCGAGGAAGTCAACCCCTTGGCGGGCGGCGTGCTCCCAGGGCTTGTCCAAACTGCCGTGAGGGCCGAAATCACAGCCATGGTGAGTGCGGTCTACTTCGCCATGGCCAGTGATGTCGATGCCCGCGTGTGGTGTGATAATCAACACGTTGTCAACAGAACACGTGCAATGTGGCAGCAGGACATTAGTGTCCACCCGAACAAGCCTGACCATGACTTGTGGGAGAAACTCCAGCACGGACTCGCCATCCTCAAGCAACGAGGGCGCACGTTGCAAGTCATCAAGGTGGCCTCGCATACAGCTCCAGAATCAGACTTGGGACCGGTCGAAACGTGGGCTCGTGTACACAACACTACAGTCGACGCCCAAGCCGGGTGGCTCAACAATAGCCGCAGCGATGCCTTCAATCAGACGCACAGGCAATTGATAGCACAGCTAGGATTCCTTCGCCCATTTGTCCAGCGCGTGCAGCGGGTTCACATCGCAGTGGCACATGCCGCCTTGAAGGAACAGGTACGCCGAGGAAGCCGCGCGGAGCTGGAGGCGCCGCCTGTTTCCATCACACAGGTTGCCCCTCACATTGAGGTGCCACGCATATTGCACACATCCCTTGATAAGCTCTTTCAGAAATACGGCCACCAGGTAGCCCAGGCCGTATTGGATTGGTGGCCAGCCACGTACGATGATGCGGTCCCGGTGCAATGGTGTAGTGTGCTCCAGTTGTTGGTGGACTTCCAAAAGTCCACGGGCCACCAAGGTCCAGTGCAACTTGCCAAAGGAGGTTGGGCCATCGCAGGAGATTGCCTAGCCGCTTCACTTGTGGTAGCCTCCAACGCTCAGCGCATTACCTGGTTTCTGCAGGTACTCAAGGACGTCTGGGGCGCCCAAGGCATCTTGCTTCGTTCCGCGTACGTGCGCCCCGACAGTGGCGCGGTTCGCGTATGGACTCGGTGCCTCCCTTGGCGGTGGACGCGGTGGCGCCATCAGGCGGTTGAGGCCTGGCTCCGGGAACATCTCCCAGCCGGGGTGGTTCAGCGCGGAGGGGTTGGTATACAGGCCTTGCCTACGGCCAAAGTGGATGAGGAATTGATTGCCCAACACGCTGATAGACAGCATGGGTTGCATCGATGGTTTCAGGCCGCATAGCGCCTAACCTAGGGTAGAGGATATGCTCCGCTAAATGCCGAGCATATGCAGCTTGTCGAAAAAAAAAAGAGATGTTTTCCCTACATGGTTCCCAGCCCAGGGGTCCGGGACTAGATCACATTTTCGGTCTGAGACTCACCCCCGAGGAATCTCCCTGTCCTTTCGGCCGGGACATCAGGGGAATCTCAGAATCTCCTTTGGCAAAGAAAGCTCGCCCCTTTCTTCGAGTCTGTCAATCTGCCCGGAGCTCTCTCCCCATCCGGCCAGGAGAGCGAAGCTGTGACTGCGGAGCAGCACAGCCGAGAGTCCATCCGCATCGCCCGTACCACACGCCGCTTTGCAGAAGTAGCAAGAGTGTGGCTCTATTTGAGGACTCAGGGAGACAACCTGGTAAATGTGTTGGAGCAATTCATATTTTGTGTTTTGCCCATTTCATCCAAAAAGGGTGTTAGAGAAGCCGGCAAGACTTAACCGGGAATGAATGACTTACGGTACCAGCCATGACAGGCAGGAATCTGGCCTCACCCTTGGTCTTATCCAGTCACCGCTTCTTGTTCGCCTCGCCAGGTTCATATTTTTCTTTTCGTGTTCGGCATTCCCCTGCAAAGCATCCCCCAAAAAAAACATGTGTTCCCCAATTTGTGCGTGACCAACAAGGCGTCAATGGAGGTGTCCTTGTAAAATGTTACACTGACAGCAATGCCTTGAACAGTGCGCGTCCATGGAATCGCCGAGACGCTCAGTGGTGTTTTTTGTTCCATTTCGTTGGCAGGGGTTTCCCTTTAGAACTCACTACCAAGCATAGTGTGCCCTTTTTCCCATGTCCACTCGGGGTTTGGGACAGAGCTGTGTGTGACCATGCTGCAATCAAGTCCGTCCCTCGAAGCAGCCCGGCAAGCAAGCTTTTCTAGGGGGTCAAAAGCAGTTGACCAGGGTGTGATCTCTGAATACATGCTCCTTGGCAGTCAAAAGCGTTTGACCAGGGTGTTCTCTGAATACATGCTCCTGTCCCACATTGATCCATTCCAGATCACGCAGGGTTTCGACGCTTTCATAGTGGGATTTCGCCGCATGTTTTGCTCCCTGGTGCGCCTCAGTTGCATCAGCAGCGTAGCAGCCGTATCGAAATTCGTTGGCAGATGGACAAAGCATTTGGGAAGTTTGGACACCCGATTTATCTTTTTCCCCAAACGTCAGGGAGCGACGATACGTTTGTGCACGGAGACAATGAATCGTTTGTGCACAATCACTGTGCGATGCTCTGTTCTAAGCGTCTATTATTAAATTGGGAGGGACGACACACTGCTTGTCCCATGTCCTTTGTGGGAACTGCGATGTTTTGACGGCAGCTCGTGTCCCTGTGATGATTGTTTGTCTTCAAAGCTGAGTCATTCACGGCTGAGATTTGTTGTCTTTTGAGGATATCGTTGCTCAATTTGGTTTCAAAGGACACCAGCAGGACAATCAGCATTTGGGGGTTCCCTTCGCATATACCCATGTTGCATCTCTTCCCTTGTCAACCGAAAAATCGCCAAGTCTTCTGTTGACCTTTGTCGAGGAAACCACTCGTGCCAACAAGAAAATTCAATATTATGTTATAGTGAACTGTACAATTTTGATGTCACACAGGAAACACAAATATGTAGGTTGTTCAATGATTGAGCTTTGCTTTGATGCTTGCGTGGATATGAGGCGAGCTTCTGAAAAAGTTTGCGGCAGCCTACCGCATTTTTCAAGATTCTGACGACCATGTGACTTGGACTCGCACAAGCATCAAGAGGCTGACCGGGCTAGTGTCTATTGTTGCTTGACCAGAATCAAGACGGCAGTGACAGATCAGAGATTGCAGTCAAGTGTCTTTCGACTGGTACTCAACAATCGTGCATGAACCTGCCCAGCTACCCCACATGATGGCAATGAAGGAGACATCTTGTTGCCCCTAAAAGGATGTTAACTTCCAAGAGGCCACGTTTCACGTTTGCATGCTGCTTGCTTTTCTACGTCGTTTTATATTTTACTTTGGCAACCCGAAACCAACCCTAAACCGTTCCTAAGTCAACCCGTTAACCCTAGCCACCCTCAACCCAAATTGTAAGCTAGCCCAAGCCCGGGCCCATGCAGACCACCTTTGAGCCAAACCTGAGTCAGCCCAACTTCCGTCCGGAAGTGAACGCAACATCCGCCGCCTACCCTCAACCAACGTTCATCCGGCCCAAAGCCTCCATCCCATTCAAATCCCAACATCCAAACCAGCTGTCAAAACAACTCTAAAAAAACCCAATACTTGCTCGATCTCTCTGGACAGTGCCCGAACCTTGCTGAATTGGGGCATCAAATCTGTGGGTCTTGACAGCTATGGGGTCTTGGGCCGACTTGGGTTTGGGGCGGCCACTGCTTGGGGCATGCTCCTTGAATTATCTCTCAGGATTTCAAAAGCTGCGTGGACCCGCATATTGAACTCCTAGTTGCTTGGGCGAATGGGGGATCTTGGGGCATCGCAGAGTTTGAAAACCCTTCCACACGCGGACCATCCTGATCTAAAGTGATTGCCGGGGAGGATTTCGTGTCACTTCCCGGATGACACATGAGGGTAGATGGGTTTGCCTTGATCAGCTGGCAAACAAGTGTGTTCTTTTTGCCCCTGTCAAGCAGACAAGTAGGTATTTGTAGGACTCCCGGATGGGCCTTGAGCAGATCGATGCGTGCTGAGGGCCCCGGGACACGTTTGGACTTTAAAAAGAACGAGAGCAGCTTCACCGATGAGGATATCCACGAGCGCATTGTGCCTTGACATTGGAAGGACTTTCTTGCTGCGGCCGTTCTGGTCTAAAGGCAGACAGTCATTTGGAGAACGCCCTGGTGACTCAGACGGATCTCACCCGGACCAAGCCTTGGGATTTGAGGGGTTTGGGGTTCGCCTTGGGAACGTTCTTGACTGTAGGGCTTGCAGACTGCTCCACAAGACAGAGTTCTGTTTTCCTGTTGCAACGCCGCCTTTCGACAGGGAACTTCGATGCTGGTAGAGCCAGCTTGCACTCAGTCTGCAGAACCGATTCAGTTGGTCGGGTTCCGGGATAGCTGGAGTGGTTCGCTGATGTCCAGGCCATTACGAAGGAGCTCTTCTTGCTCATTATTCAGGATCAAGGCCGGCGCTGGGTTGCGACAGTTGCCGAATGCCTTGGTTTCTGAATGTGAGCCTTTCACTGGAAGCAGCAAGAACTGGCAAGCATATTATTGTCATGGGAGTTTCTCGGAAGGGTGGAGGAGCTGTTGGTTGGTACTGACAGGGAAGCCCAAAAGAAACCAACCATTTTACAGCGGTCCCATATTTGGAGAACACCCACATCTATGTGCTGCAGCGTTGCCAGCCCTCACCCCACTTTTCCAATGACTAATGGGGTGAGATTGGCAGACGCTGGCCTTAGAAAACCAGGGGGAGTTGTTTGAGCAAAAGTGAGCAGCGCCCAACACCCCTTTACTTTTGCTTAAGGTTGTAAGGCAAGCCACAGAGAACATATCCATTTTGGGGGTCCTATGAGACATACCCATTGCCATGTTCAAAGCTCAGGCGTGCAGTTCCTTATGGACGAGCTGGAGCTGCCGCACGACCGCGCCAATCTTTTCGAGGCGAACAGCGTCGTTGTTTGCCGGGCCTTTCAGAGGGTTCCGTTGTTTGTTTGCCCAAGACTTGGGAGTGTTTCAAAATAGGCCCTTTTTAGACGGTTAGGGAAACAAGGTGTCTACCTTGGTAATCAGAGAAGGAGCCCTACGTTTTTTCTTGGAGGCCTGCTTGTTGGGCTCAATCGAGGGACTTGCAAAACAGAACTCACCGCACAGCACAACACCCAGCGCCCAGAAGCAACACGCAACACACCATATGCGGCACGCAACGCAACACAACACACACACACACACCAACACACACCAACAGTCACCCACCCCCACCCCCACACTCGCACACTTGAAGAGTGGGTTCCACTCACTCGCAAATTGCACTCAACGCGAATGTAATGCTGCGAAAATTAATCACATCACATCAGCAACACAAGATACAACATAAAGCTAACATCAAGAGGAGAACAGAACAAAAAAGGACAGCTTAAAAGATTCAGGTACACGTGGACGATCAGTCCACGCTTTCCTCACCATACGGCTTCGTTGGAACAGGTAGATATGATGAGCAGCCCACTCTTTCCTCGCCATACCATAGCTTCGTTACATCAGGTCCATATGGTTGGCCTGACGCCTGGCATCTTGTTGGAAAATGTCAAATGGTTGAATTAGCGCGTGTGATTTGATCCAGCAAGCTGCTCACTCGCACAGACGCACCACGCAGAAAGCACAACACACACAACACATGCAACACACGCACACACACAACACACACCCAACACAACACGCGACACGCGACACTCGACACCACACACCACACTCCACGCACGACGCACGACACACCACACACGGCACACAACACACAGCGCACAACGCACAACACACACGACGCACGCACGCAGGCACGCGCGCGCGCACGCGCGTACGGGGCACGCACACACAACGCAAGGCGCACAAACGCACAGAGTAGACACACAAAGTACACACACACAGAGTAGACGCAGAGAGTAGACACAGAGTAGACGCACAGAGTAGACACACAGAGTAGGCACACAGAGAGACAGATGGACTTTCCTCATTGTTTTTCTATCCCTCAAACTCCCGGAGTCTTTTAATGTAAGCATCGTGCAAAACCGAGCTATTGGACGGATCCCGCCAGATCATTGATGCGGATGGCAGCGGCACTCTCCATGTCACGGAGCTGGTGCAGGCGGTCGCAAGCCATAGACCAGGGCACAACATCAGTGATTTCCTTGTGGTTTTTCTCTCAGCCCAAACATGGACATCCTCAAAGTGACACCCAACAAGCATGAAGTTCAATGCAGGACCTTGTTTCTGGGCGGGTCCCTCCCAAGTGCTCGGGGTCCTCTATAAAGGCCCAGCAGGGAGCTTGGATGGCCTACCCAAGTATTGCACTAAGCATTGCCAATGCGCAGTTTAGTAATTATCGCCAGCACTTTCTGTTGGATTGCCAGTTCTTAGTTTAGTCCTGCTAGCAATTGCCTCGTCTAAACTTAAAATTGCCAAGACTCACTCACAGATTCCCAGAACTTAAATTTAGTATTGCCAGATTTGACCTCCCAAAAAAGCTTGACATGAAAGAGGACCCCCCCAAGTAGTTATATTAAACAGGATGATTGCCTCCCGTGGGCACCCCCCTTTGAGCAAAGATGTTATGTTAAATTTGATGTTGTGGTGACCGCTTGCAAAATGGATTTCCTAGATTCAGGTCCCGAGCTGGGAAGGACTTAGATAGCCACCCTTTAAAGGTAGGGTATGTTTCACTGCGGGGCCTGAGCCAGGAGCTGAGAGGAGAAATCTGTTGCCCATATTGTGCATGTTTCTCAGATTGTTTTGCCCGGGATGTTTTGGGGTTTGATCTTGACATAACCGAGGACCCCCAAACAGTCTGGGGATCATATTTAAGCCGAGGAAACTTGACATGATTCAGGGCCTGATATTAACTAGGTGCGGCATTCTTCCAAGCGTGTTAAGGCTTGCCTATCAAAGTCATGGATTGAATGGTGAATTGCAATGAAACGCTTTGATTATTGAGGGTTAGTACACGAGAACCAAGTCATTGATTCAGACGAGTTATTTTGGCGCTGTCATGTCTGAGACGGAACAATGCTGGCGATGCTTGATTGCTGGGCCGACAACATGCATGTGGCAAATTCAAGAGCTGCGGTCCATGGGGTCCTACAGTCTCCACTGCAGTGGGGTTTGAGTTGCAATCCTTTGCCATGCGTGTTGGGAAACGAAGCCTGAAACTGGTTGCTATCAACCTTGGCGCTTGGCAGGGCCGCATTCTTTTCCAACCAGGGTAGATGTGGTTTGGGTAGACAGTAGAAGATTTAGATTTGGGCTGCGGGACCCCCTTTTTGGTTGACTTAAGGGACGCCAAGAGGAAATCATCCATTTCTGGTGTACCCCTAATTTCAGTTCGGTTAACATAGCCGAATTTATGTATAGCTCATTTGGGAGAGACTTTGGGGACTCACGCACTTGTGCGGCCCCACGCGCGTGCCTTTGGATTGCCAGGGCTTGCTGAAGATTCGCGGAGAGGTCAAGAAAAGTGACGCGGTGGCGACGCTTTTGGCCACCAAAGCCATTCAGAATATGCTCAACGCCCCGCGGCAGGACTTGTAACAACCTCTTTTATCTTCTTGTTTGGTGGATGATGGATTGGATGGATGGATGGATGGATGGATGGATGGATGGATGGATGGATGGATGGATGGATGGATGGATGGATGGATGGATGGATGGATGGATGGATGGATGGGTGGGTGGGTGGGTGGGTGGGTGGGTGGGTGGGTGGGTGGATGGTCCTTTCTTTCTGTCAGCAAGTTTGTAAAATTTCATCGCCAGAGGCTGGTAGTGTCCGTGTACTTCCGTCATGGCACCAATGAATCCAATGACACCTACTTGATAGAAGAGCTTCCAGCTAATGCGCGAAGCTGCATTCCTGGCACATATGCCGTACCTTGCGCTACGTCAAAGATGGGACTTGGGGAAACCTGCGTGCCATTTTTCAAGGTCAAGGCATCCAAAAACGTTTTGTGCCATGCCACGAAGGTGGTTTGGGCCAGTCGCGTAGTGGCGAGCCATCTCAGGAATTGAAGACGGACGACCAGGCATTCCAAAAGCAGGTCCTCAAGATTCTTCAGCCGAACAGGACCTGCTGCCAAGTCAACCTGGAGGCTAGTAAGACCCAAGTGGGTATTTGTGGGGTAAGCCCCCATTCAGGGGCTCATCAGGACGATTAACCATTCACTAGGTCGCATGATTCCAAGTACCGTCCTTTGCATGGCCACTGTGCGCCTCACGTGGACATGCCCAGATGGCACTGACTGGTTCAAGCTTTGCCTCTTTTTTTTGCACAAGGTGACTAAACCGGTTTGCTTGCAATGCGCTCTTCACTGCGAGCTGTTTGTTCCTCTTGTGTCACTCCAAAAGCAACGACTTTGCGTGGTTGAAGTGTTACCTCCGGATGCCAGCGGCCACGAGGTCCTTGGCCACCCGCATGCGATCATTTTGTGCATTGGGTGTTGGGAAAGAGACCGAGCAGCACCTGGAGCTCTTGCTTTATCGTTTTCTGGCGCCAACCCTCCCAAACATACCCCACTAAGTGACATGGAACCTGACTGGAGATCTCTTTTAGAGGAAAATGGTTTCCAGGAACCTCCTTCCGTCAGGTTCCGGGGCAACACGGATGGGATGGTCATTATTTTTCTGCGAAAGGTACCTCAGCATGCAGCCAGCTTTTGATCTGGATGGTTGTGCAAAGACCCCTGAAATGTGCATGACAAGAACAGGGAATCAACCCCCAGAACAATGGGTAAGCGCTGAGAAGAGTCTGTCCTCGTACCGCAGGATCTCCCTTCAGTCTCACCAGCACAGCTTGAGCAAAGCTCAAAGTCTTGTTAGCAGAGCAGGAGAGCAGGACTGGTCCCAGAGATCGGACTAACCCGGAGGACCGCACGGGCGTTCCTCTGACCAGTTGGCTCCGGATTTATCTGAAGTTCGCTGGGGTCTCTTGCTTTCTGACTTTTTTGTGTAGATGTTTGGGGGTGGTTTTTTAGCGAAACCAACAGGAAAACCACGATTTCTGGTCCCCCTACAGCTTGTTTGAGCCGTAATAATTTGCCTTCGTGCGGTCGATGCATCAAGGGCTAGCTCATGCGAACAGTTCAAATGAAACGGCGCGGGCCTCTTGCGCAGGCAAGGACCAATCCAGAGGTTCCATGGGTCCAACAAGATCTGTTGCTTACATTCGAAAGTTCATGAGACATGGCTATGAGTTTCGATGAATATCCTCCCAAAGGTTGTCTCGCAAACTGCCACAAATCATGTCCACCGACCCAAAATCAAGCATATTTTGGGGCTGAGGTAGACCCTTGAAGCAAAGTACATAATCGAGCTCAGGATTCAAGTATGAGACCTCACCGTGCGGATTGACATCACCCATTGGCCCACAGATTAGAAATGTCCGATCCATTCTCGAGGTTGAGCATTCACACAAAGAATCCAAGCAAAGGAGGGGGCGGGCTATTGTCAGCCTTGTAGCTGGCTGATTGAACGACCCTTTCACCAACTCAGCTGTCATGCTTGCGATACGTTGAATGAGGCTTTCTCAAAATAGCGGTCCCCTAGCATGGTTGGTGTCCTGTTGGTTTCTCTTTAAAAGCATCCCGGAAGGGTCCACATTTTGAGAACCCCAAAGGGCAGTTAGTTAGTTATTTGTTGTCCACTTCAACTGTATTTTAGCTTTCATGTTTGCGGTTGGTCCTGTGCCGGAGTTCGTGCCGTGCAGTTCACTTCTCACTCCGAAGATTCGTTGTAGCTTTGCGTAGGTGCCCACGCTTTGCAACCTACCCAACTGTCCCAAGTGTAGGGAGCAGCCCATGGTCCATGTAAGGACCGTAACATGGGCAGGAGCCCTTGTTGGCACGTCCGAGAATGGGTCTGAATCTCCGAATCCATTCAGGCAAACCCTTCAGAGATCTCTTCCAAATTCAAGTCTCACGGTGTCTAACCGTGACTACACGTGCAGATTCCGCCACTGGTGACCCTGGTGCTTAGACCTTCCTGAATCTGCAGATGCAAGACCTCCAGTTCCCTTCTCCTTTCAGTGCGAGGCCATGAGATTCACTGTCGATCCATCGGGAGGTAGCACAGAAGGTGTGGGCATCTCTCCAAATTTCCGCGCTGGCCAAGCCACGATTGGGGCAACTCGGGAAGGCGACAGATGGAAGGATTGAAGAATGTCCAATTTTCCTACGGGGGGTCCCCTTCATCAATCACCAAAAAACGGGTGAGGTTTGGAAATGATCGCAAGGAGATGATGTGCATTCCACAAGAGGTAAGCTACAACGGCTAGACAAAGACAGCCGCACCGTCGATTGGTTCAGAAAGACAGCCCCACCATCAGTTGGTTCAGTTCATCAACTCAAGCCATGTAAGCAAAGCATTGGCTACTTTCAGCCCCGGCGATCAGGGTCACTTGTCAGACCTGCAAAATGGCCCCGATGCGGGAAACTTTATATTATATGCGGTTCGGTCAAATTGTCCGGTGGTCTAAGGCAAATACATGAGGGACTCGCTAGATTTCAAACACCAACCCAGGACCAATGCAAATTTACCCATGTTCATAGAGAACAGCGAACCAAGTGTTACCGCCGCACATGCTTTTTTAGTAGGCGCGGGAACACCTTGTCTAGCAGTGGTCCAAGGTCCTTAGCCCATAGCCATAGGTTGCAACGGCTCCCTTTGCTATGGCTCTGAATCAGTTGAAATGTTCAGCTTCAGACACATGATTCTCTCTCCATGGAACTATGATGGGACGTTGCAGACAATGCCACTCAGTGTTTGCGCGATAGGTGGGCCATAACAACGAATTCCAAACACTGGCAAACTGCCTAATTTTGCTGCCTACTCTCCCAAGGACCTGCAATCGTGTGAGCTTCCTTCAAGATGTACACGTGGTTGACCCCTTAAGAACCATTAAAACAGTTTTTGCTGCAATTAAACGAGACAAAACAATTCAATCCAAGCCACGTGCTTGCTCAGGAGGGTGATATTGATAGGTGCAGGGTTGTCAAAATTAGGGGCATCCCAGTTCAAAAGGTGGCACAAGGCAGCACCAGGGTTCAACATGGAGCCTTATATTCTTGACAACCCGCGTTGTGAACATTCCTTTTTCTCAGGCAAGGCACGGGACAGGTCACAAATCCAACTCGGAAACTTCTCCTGAGATTCCCAAGGATGGGGCTGAGTCCCATTTTGACGCGCCTTTCTGCTCGGAGTGTCGTGACTCATCTCCGCATTGGGCTGCATTGAAAAGAGAGCGCGTGGAAGAGTCAGGGCATGTGTTCAAGCACTGGTTCCCCCTTTAAAAAGATTCAACAACAGAGGATAAAAGTGGCGGAACCTTGGCAAGAGTCGGGATGTAGCGATGCGCGACGTGGTTGCAATGTGCGACAGTTGCTTTGTGGCTCTAGCTCCGTCTTGAAGGCGACACTTGCGGCAGCCGCAGCGGCCTTGGACATTTGAACCCCGTAGTCAAAGGAGGTGTCGGAGAACCAGCTAAGGCTATGTTGAGTTGGTGGGGTCCGGCTTGTGTTTGCCCAAACAGGTACTTGTACTCGACTCACATCGATGCGCTGATCCATAGTTGAAAGTGAAGCCACCCAAAAAGACGGCAGGCAACACACAGAGGTACGGTAGCTTGCCTGAAGTTTTGAGAAGCAGAACCCCTAGCCATGGTCAAACGGAAACCAAGCAACAAGAGGAAACCGGACGGAACCCGCAAACAGGAAACCAAACAGAAACCACTTGGAGGCGATTTATTTTTTCAGATCAGCTCCCGGAAGCAGGCCCGTTAGCCCAATGGCGGTGGACCGAGCTGCTTTCGCTGATCTCTTGGACAAGAGCTGGCAGTCCTTTAGAGAACAAGTCTTGGAGGCAGCATTTGAGCGGGTTCGTGGCTGGCGCAACAAATCCGAAAAACCCCCTTGGCATGCAAATGTAGACCATCCTGTTCTTTCCTTGTGGCCCCCGAAAAATACAAGTCCGATGACAAGTCCCTTGAACAAGTCACACGAAACCACACCACGCCAAGAGCAGCGGCAGTTGTGGATTTTAGCCGGAATGAACGCAATGGTGAAAGTGAGAGTAATTCTGGCGTAAAAAGCGACATGACCTTCTTGTGTATGGGTTGCATGGTCACAACACCCCATTTCGTAAGAGCATATGAGCCACAATCCAAGTCGGATAGATGAAGGATAGGAGTATATAGTAATAACACAATTCCCAGTGAAGATGTCAAAGCCTAAGTAGACTGGCATTGAATAAAAGCAAAGCAACTCATGTGACTTCGCATGTTGTAATGCAGGAGTATTCCATATCATGAAGCAACACAAGGCGACTTTGTAAAGGAGATGAAATTAGTTGCCTTTGCAACAACTTACTGGAAATCTGAAAGCCAACAAAAATGCCATAGAGCCACTTTGGACCTTTAGATGCGATCCCTGATTTCTGTTGCAAGATGCTTGCTTGTACGACAACAATTCTTGCATGCCAGAAACTGTGCAAGATCGCAGAACCGCCAAACACGGGGTTTCCTATATGCCTTGAGCTACCTTGAGTGATTTGAAGAAAGTCTTGTTGATCTTCTTTGATATCGCGACGGAATCCCAAGCCTGAAGCTGCAAATCCCACGTCTACCATGCGAAAACAGCGGTTTTGACAATTGTCTCTTGTGGGATTGAATGCTCTTGCTGCAGAACTGGTTACTCAGTTGCAGTACAGATGGGGGGGTTTTCCAAACAGTCGTCCCCTCAAATGTTTGATTTCCTTCCCTGCAAGTACCAACAGAAAGGGGTTCCTCCATGTGAGCAACGCCCAAGCCAAGTCTTCATCGCACTTCGCCCTTGCGAGGCTTTTCCTGTCAAAGAGCAGTTTGAGGCCAGGCAGTGCGAAAGAAGCAAACCTTGGCTGTGGAGGCTACGATTTTCACAATGTTTTAAAGGACAACCAGTCGGAAAACCACCCATTCTTGGAGTCTCCCAGATTTGACGCATGCCCTAATGGCTATACTGGCTATACTTGTGATCCTGCAATATTTCCCTAAGGAGAAGCTCATATGTGACATGGTCATTTTGACCGGTTCCCTTGTTTGGGGCTGGCCATCAACCAGTTTATACGGAATCGAGGCAAGACCGGTTCCCTTGTTTTCGGGCTGGCCATCAACCAGTTTATAGGGAATCGAGGCAAGAGAACCATGGCTCTGACCTGCAGAAGTTTTGACCCATGCGCATTGGTGCAGTGCATCCTGTCCAAATTTCGGCTTTCGTTCGTAGCGGTGTCGGGCTAAAGCCACACGCTAGCTGGATGTTTGCATTGGAATTTCCTTGCGACAGCGTTCTGCTCTTCCGCACTTTTCAGAATACGTCCATGAGATATTGTGCAGGACCATGGGCAAGTGCTTTCAGAGCTGAAAGTCGACGTGTTGTGAACGGATAGTCCTTCGAGGTTGTAGGACGCCACAGGAGAAGTTGGCCCAACACCAGTCGTGTTTGGCAGGGGGCGCACATTTGGATTGGGGAGCGCCTTCAGCTGGAAGTGTGGCGGACTTCGGCGTATAGTCGTTTGTCTCACTCGCCAGGTGTGCCAAGAGTTTATCGGCGAGATCGAGAAAGTCCACAGCTCATCGGATACCCCCCTACGCCAGGCGTGCCGATGAAATGCGCCAAGTGACTCTCGGTGGGTATGCCTTGTCAGAATATGGGGACTTCTTTTTGCCTTCCCCCTTTTCTTTTTGATCACCAGCCATGTCCTGCTCCGACAAGATGCCTGAGCCGGTGGAAGAAATTGAGGAGGAGCGTTCGGCACCATCCGTGCAGGAGGCAGAGGCCAGACTGGCCCTTCAAACGCCGAGTGCGGACTTCAGCTCGCCTTGGGACCTGCGGGCCGAGATGTTGGAGCTGCAGGAGGTGCATCTCCAACCTCACCCTCTACCAGTCTCCACAAAATCCCGTGACCGGATCTGGTGGAGTCCGGCACGCCCGCGCGCCGGGGGACAGGGGCAGATCAGGCCTTGGAGCCCCAGTGGGGCTGCAGAAATTTGGCACTCACACATTGCAGGAAGGAGAGGATGGTGAGTGGAAAGCAGGAGGTGAATTGAACAGCACTTGACATTTTTGCATTTGTTGACAGAAAGGGATATCACAGATCCCTTTCAAAAAACGTTCATGAAAGTGACAACTGTGCCGGTTGACTCAGTTGGACCTGAATGTCTTCAGCACACCTCAGAGGATACCAGTAGGCGTGAAGAACAAAGTGCATGTGTGCTTTGTTGATCACGGCTTTGGAAAGAAAATGATACAATTTGGCCATGTCAAACATTGTTTTTTTCAGCAGGCCAAGAGGAAGCCAGTAAGGTTCAGGCGGAACATATTAAAGCACTCTGTTGGTAAAGCCATGCAAGGTCTTCAGCGCCCAAGTTCGCTGGGTTACCCGGCTTTTGAAATGCCAAGCTAAGACAGTCAAACCCTTGAACGGGGCTGCTTCAAACCAGGGAGTTCCCAACTCAAGCGGTGGGCGAATAGCATTGGCATGACTGCGCCCACGATTTGCCAGGACTTGGAAATTCATCGAAGACAAGAGTCCCGGGAGAAACAATCTTTGCAAGACATGCTTGCGCGTCAAGCTGTTGCTGTGGAGGACCGGGCGGTTTTTTTCACATTGTAGTTTGCATTTTCACCTGCTTCGCAAGCCTGTTGGTTTTTCTCCCCGAGGATCAGGAGGTAGTTCTTGCAGATGTCCTTGCAGACATTGAAGGCATGGTGGGTGTGCCAGGGAGCAAGTAGCTCGACAGGGTGTTTTCCGATTCAGAACCCATGTGCTCTCGTTTCACAGTCAATGCACGTCCCCGTGGGTAAAATGACAAAAATAACGTGATTGCAAGAGTCAGAGAGTCCGCTGGCTCTGAAAGTTGTTTCTTGCACAAATCAGAAAGGTGACGTGGACAGAGAGAGGCGATCCCGGTTCAGGCCACTGCTGAGTGACCCCTTGCCGTTGTTCTGCATGGTTTTTGCAAGTTTGCTCCATAGGGGATCTGTTCCTCCTCCCGGGGATTGTTCCAGACTGGGCTTTGTACAGCATCACTAAGCCCCTGCAGCTCACACTCGCTGTGCCTTCAGTCAGGCAAGATTCGTTTGGGATGTAGATTATTGTTCAGGAGTCGGTTGATTGGCTGCTGAATCGCATTTCCTCCATCAGGTCCAGTATATCCCGCTCGTAGTTAAACATGCGCTGCCTCCGTTGCGACTGCCTCAAAATGTATTTCAACAATTTGAGGCAGAAACGAGTTGGGCAAAGCATGTTGAAACCAAGCAGTCGCCTTACCTTGTTGGGAAGTTCAATAGAAAAGGCCCAGACCTCCAATTTGGTATCTTGGCACTTGAATTGGTCGGAAGATCTCTGAAGAACGCGGAACTAGGGAGATGTTGCTTTCCATATCTTTCCATGACATGAGGGGGGTCCCAGAGGCCTCCTTTGGGTTTTTCAAGAAGCTACGTATGCGATGGATAGTTGCAAATCGAGAAGTATTTGAGAGGAATATGCAATTTGGAGGGTTGTTTCATGTTGTTTCCAATGCGACGGCTCTCACAAAGTCACAGCTGTGGGTTCGTGTGTTTGTTTGCTCATGGCATCATTTGCGACATCAGCTCCCAGCCACATGTAGGGCTGTTTAGGTGGGGGGAAGTTTCCAGGCATTGACATGTTGACAATGCGTTAGCGATGCTTCAGACTTTCAAGCGCCAATAGACACACAGTGGTACGTTTATCATGATCAGTCCTGGTCTGGGCAAGGGAATAAATCCCCCTTTAAGAAAATATGGGTTCGTGTTTTGCGAGGGTCCACTTTTCTGGCTCGTTTATATAAAGAGAAGCAAAAAGGGAAAATAGCACATGTTGGAGGTCCCCACTGAGAAACCTAGGGTTTCTGAGCTCAGTAGTCAGGTCACGCGGCCACTTTTCGGCCAGTTACAAGTTCACCAGTACCAGCTGATTGGGGTTTCCTGTAAGTCAGGTGGTTTTTGCATGTCTCCTCTGGGGAACACAGAAGAATCATGCATGTGTGTGTGTGTGTGCGTGGGATGATATGGCCCCTCGAGCTCTCTCGCGAGGCACAGCTGAATCTGGTGAGTACGAGCAGGACCGGATGCGACGTGGAAACAGGAAAGGCCCCTGAAGACATGTTCATCCATGTTACTTTGAATTCTTGGATTTATTTGGGTTCATATTGCGGGAGGGTAACTGTTATCAGCATGTATTGCCCAAGAACAAGAGCCATTGCGGCTCACTCTCTGCAAGCACGGATGGCCCGACATGAGATTAGACAGTCCACATGTTTGGTATGTTTGTGCAAAATGCTGGCAAGGAGCCATTCCCGAAGAAAGAAGCGGTTCAACCTTGCTTGTGGACTTCCAGTTTTCAATGGACCACCGAGAGTGGTAAAAGTACCGAAAGGCTGCTACACCATTTGTCCATTTGTGATTTGTGATGTAGGGTTGCCGCCCAGTTCCCCCCGCCCGCCCCCGCAGCGCCAAGATCTCTTTGCCAAAAGGCCCTGAATATTCCGAACTTTGGCATCACCACATTGCCTTGGTACTCCCAACATGCCTGGGTGTCTGCCCAAAAGCAACTGAAATCTTAGGCATGGAGGCCGAATACTCCTTTGGAGTTTTACTTGTTTAAACAAGTTTTAAGTGTAGTTCTGACGTAGATGTGAGCCTCATAATGGTTGACAACTTAAATGCCCATGAGTTATTCCTAGTGACCTGTGCCGGAAGCCAAGGCAGCCCTGAGAAAACTGAACCAATGAAAACCCAGGATTCGTGAACCCCATGCTTGTTGCTTGCTTGCTTGCTTGCTTGCTTGCTTGCTTGCTTGCTTGCTTGCTTGCTTGCTTGCTTGCTTGCTTGCTTGCTTGCTTGCTTGCTTGCTTGTCTGTTTGTCTGTCTGTCTGTCTGTCTGTCTGTCTGTCTGTCTGTCTGTCTGTTTGTTTGTTTGTTTGTTTGTTTGTTTTGTTGTTTTTTGTATTATGGTGTCTTTTTTTTTGTTGGGGGGGGGAAGAGTCAGGGGCTTGGACCTGGGTGCACGATCGACTGGCAGGTCGTGAGCAGGGTGCCTTCACTCCCAACCTTTCCACCGCCCAAGCACCTCACAGAACGGGCAGACTCCGGCGAGCCTTGGTTAAACAAGTCCGGGAGCTAAGGGTCCCTTGGTACCTGAGGTACCGACTGACCCCCAAAACCTGCAAAGCCCTGAAAAGGTACCAAGGGACCCTTTCGGACTTGAGGTGGCATCCGCCATGTGTGACTTGCGTCGAATTACTTCCGTTTGTTCACCTGCGCCTGCAGCCCCTGCAGTGCCAAAGATCAAGTCTCTTCAGAAGCAAGATGTCGGACTGTAGTTGTACTGTAGCGCTACGCAGCAGTGCCACCGCATCGCCGAAGATGATAGATGGGCTACTTTTGGAGTGTCAGCACTTCTTCAAATCCAGTAAACTGACTTTCATTTTGCTTGGGCGGTTTGTTGCACACATGGCTCTTCCGCCGCTCAGGAATTCGGCGCGCTCTGTCAAACAAGGTATCACTGCCCAAACGACCTCAGAAAAATATGCGCGCAGAGGCAAGGAAAGAATGCCCCTATCCCACCAGGCAAACGTGATGAACACCGTGTGCCTTCCACTGAAATCTTGTCCTTGGCGTTGGAAGGGGCTCCTATGGGCGCGGGATCCGTGTTCATCCACCAGAACTATTGACAGGTACATAAAACATTTGTCTTTTCATCGTGTCAGAGACCAATATCGTGACGGACAAACACTTAGAAACGGTTTTGGAAATTTTCTTTTGGCACCAGGTACTTTTTTTCGCTTCTAAGTGCTGTCCCCAGCAGGTACCTTTCGTTTCTAAGTGTTGCTCTGGACTGCTACAGCCCAATTCAACACTTATTTTTTTTTCAACACTTAGAAACGCTTTGCAGCACTAGCCCAACAGCTATATACGATCGTACATGTGTTTCACGCCTTGTTTGATGGCTCCACCTTGCTCACACACGTGCTGACATGTATGGAGAATTGGTCATGCATACACACAAACAAGTCCAATTGGTCGACTCTGGGGGGGAGTTGGGGGAGGCGTTTCTAAGTGTTCACCCCCAGCTGATTTCAAGTCTCCGGCAACCCCAAGAAAGCACCGATGCCCCGAGGAGGAAGGTCTATATATATATATATATGTAAGTATGTGTGTATGTAAATAAATCATGCCTTGCTCGCCAGATATCAATGTTTTTTGAGGCGTCCAAAGGCTGCAATATGTTGGAACAACAAAGTAGAAGCGCACATTGTCGGGGAACGCGGGAATACGCTGGACGCAATACCGCTCGTGATATTTTGAAGGGCAGAAGGTCACTTGTGGGAGTCTGAGCAACTCTCGAGGATTCGGCGCAATTCAGAAGTCCGTTGACCATTTCCGAAACTCGGTCCGCTTTCTCGAAGCATGGCTCATTGGGGTGACTGTTCAAGAACACTCGAGCGGAGATCGGATGTCTCGAGCCAGAGAGGGGGATGTCGAGTGAGGTGAGCCAGTTGAGCCAGTCGAGCCAGTTGAGCGAGTTGGCGCACAAGGAGTCCTCCCACCTGAATGGGGGTCTCACTGGTGCGGTCTTCCTGCAGTCTGGCTCCTCGTCCATGAGAATTGCATTAGTGGAGTTTGTTTGGTGTTTGAAACGTTTCGGCACCTTGGGCATTCCGAAAACACCCAAACCTCCGACCAAATCTCGGGGCGTGACCCATGGCGCCAAGGCTTGGAGGGCCTCTCAGAGGCGGAGGCCAGGGCGATCCGGCACCGGCTCCGCGTGCGCCTGGGCGCGATGTCTCGCTTGACTCTTGGCGCTTGGGCTGGGGCTTGGGAATGTGCTCCGGAACAGGGCGACGGGGCGAGGGGACTTGGGATGGATTGGAACAGGGCGAGGGACCTGGATTCAGAGCATGCAACTTGCGGCGGCACCTTTTTCTTGAGCAAGGGTCATGGAGCCTTGCGATCCTGATAGGTTCCAAGGGACTCCTTGTTGGATGACCCAGTCAGAGAATTCGAACCCTTCCTTTTTGTACCTAAAGGGGAAGGACCCCCCTGAGCTCCAAACCACCAACCCAAATCACCAACTAAGGGGAAGCTGACAAAGGCATGAGCCGAGACAGAATTCGATTTCGCACAAGTTCATGAGGCCGCCTTGACACCTAGAAAGGAAGCAAATGACCGTCTTAAATGACCCCCTTTAACCCCTCAAACCCATCCGCAAAAGGTGCCGAGCCGCTGGGAGTGAACCTGTGAGCATCCCAGGAAGCTGGTCAGCGGGAAGTCCGTTCACGAGGCAGTGGAAGCACTGGGCCTCACGCGCTACTCTGTGGAGGACATGAATGAGTTGGTGCCCTGAAGAAACCAGCGAAACCAGCTAAAAACTGGCAGCTACGAGAACTTTACAAGAAATGAGAGCAAGCCGCATGTTTTCCTGGGTCTTTGGCGACTTCCCGGCATGACCTGCTGGTTTTGATGTTTGTGTGTGCATTGGTCACAGTTGGCTTTGGACAGTTCCTGGCACTTTCCGGTGGGCTGTGAAGGAATGTGCGGCATTTCGCCGGCATTTGGGTTCCAACCGAGAAGGGACTGAGAGTTTCTTGAGATGAGGTAAACTTGCTCGCGGACTTCATCAGCTTGCACTTTGAGGAGCACACGGATCATCAAATTGCCATGGGAACTATAAGAACAATGAAGATAGCTACATGCAAAAACCGAAGCTTGGTGGTGTTGGTTGACTTTCTGCAGAATTTACTGCTGGCTTCTATGAACACATACACTCATATGAGTTGGCTTGCGCCTTTGTCCAGTCTTAATTGGGATGGTCAGATGATGAGTTCTAAAGTTGGCCCTCCCGATTTTCACAGCACCAATGAGAACCCAAACCAACCAATGCTTGTGGAATGGTTGCTACCAAAATGCTATGAAGCTCGCTGGTTGAGTAGAATCAGCAGTCGCGGCAAAGATGTCAGGAGACCCACAGCTCCAAGAAAGGAAGAAGAAAGACGATTTTCAGCTGGGAGGAGGTCGCTTCCTGTCAGCATCAGTTGAGCTCAGGGTGCTCGGTTCGTCCTTCAAGCGGTCAGTCCAGTGGCAGTGCTAGACGATTTCTCGAGTCAGAAGTCAGAACCAGCCAACTAATTGAGAACGCGTTTGAACAGTTGCTTTCCCGCAATAGCCTTGTCACCACGGCCCGTGGTACATTCTGATGGGTTTCTAGTGATTCAGCGGGCCCAAAAAACCTCAGAAGGTACCAAGGGGCCCGCTGAACGTTGCACCGCGCTTACAGGCTTCAGCTTGTTGCTTGCTGATTTTGACCGAAGCGCCTTCCAACCCAGGGTGATCAGCTCGAAAACTTTGGCCGACCTGTGTGGAAATGGCCAGATCCGCGGGACATTCATCAGGCGACTCGGCAAGGACAGGCTGGGAAGCTGGCCTCAAGAAGATGTGACCTGCTTTTCTCACTGCACGAGATCCTGGACTTTTTGCATGGTGGGAAAACTGTTTTTCGTAGCCAAGAAACAGTTTACAGTTTGGACTTGTTTGGGACACTCAGGAAGTGAGTAATTGTATGGGCAAAAGCACCGGATTTCCCTGCCACAGCAAGCGCACCAGAAGCCAAGGAGCATCGTTCTTTCAATTTGCCGCGACATCACGTTCTGTCACATGCCATGCGTCCACTGCCCAGGGCGGATGTGGCATAGGCAAGTTCAAGCATGTGAGGCAATGTTGTCAATGGGCAACTGCTCTGTCTTGCATGAAGTGTTCCAGATTTCCGCTGTGATTGAAGAAAGAAAAGGATTTGTAATGTGTTATCCTTGTCGATTGTATTGCTGACTATGACGCCAGTGTTACACAAGCGAAGCTGTGGTGCATCCCTACGTCTGCAGCTGTTCACCTGTTTGCGTTCCACGGTTTCTGGACGTATCCCCATTCATTTGGTGCCAGCCGTTTTCATTTGGTGGGACCCCTTCAAATGGTTAATCCCAAAAAGGGTTCCCCTTTTCAACCAGGGTTTAGGGTTTTAATGGGACTTTCTGCGAAGTGAAGCGCTGGTCCCCGAGCTCCAGTTTCCACAAGGAGATCAAGGAGATTCCTGTTTGACGTTTCTGGTTGGGTTCCATTTGCAGGAGAGTACAGGACAACCAGCAAAACCTAGGGAAAGACCCAGCTCGAAAAGGACAATGGTCCAATGTGGAATCGACCAGACGCATCTGAGGGCGGCATCCATCGCACTTCCTCCATGACCGCCTTCGGCGAGGTCCAGGTGGCCTAAATCAGACGTAAAGGAATGAAGGAAGGAAGGAGAGAATGAAGGAAGGAAGCAAGGAAGGAAGGCAACGACATGTTGGTTTATGGACTTCAAACATTTTGGGAAGACCGTTTGAGTAGTAAACACAAAGTTCAAGCTTTTTTTGGGCAGTCTACTCAGGAAGTCAGTATCAAAGGCAAAGGCAGATAGGTTCAGCTAAATGGCGAGGCGGCTGGGCTTGAACTTCAAGGGGGGCAACCTTCCCGATTGGTTGGTGGACACAAATCTCCACCTAAGTGGTGTCCACCAACTAAAGTTCATATAAAAGGAACCAAAGGAATATGTGTTGGTTCATTGAAAGACAGCCAAAAGATATATTTGTTCAGGGTGTGCTGGTTGGCCCTGATTCTGCCAGGAAAGGGGATAATGGTAACATGTATGGCTCTGCGAGGCCCTGTGCCAAGTTTTGACACGGCAGCATGTGCATTGCATGGAAGAGTTCTCGGGACCTTCCACAGCCACAACAAATTGAACATGATCACACACGTACTGCTTTCTGGGGCGTCAAAAGAACTGTGTTTGTCTGTGTGAGGCAGGTGGAGCATAAGCCGATGGATATGTCTTAGGCCTGAGGATGGTTGAGAGGTAAGCGGTCCCCTTGAAGCTGCTTTTTAGAGAAACAACTGCGCAGATTTGAGATGGGGGCCGGGGGGTTGCGGAAGATTTGAAGCTTAGTCCCGCGAAAACTTGGTGCTTTAGCATTCAGGACGCTGTCCGCAGAATATTAGTTGGCGTCTTCTTTGCATCACAGATCCGAATGATCTGAAGCAAGCGCCTTCCGTGTTTTCCGTGTAGACTCTTTGGGGGAAAATGATCACTATGGATATGTCATGGCAGTGTTTTGTCTGAGGGCAGCCTTTTGGGATTGATTCGAACGAAAGCCCGGTTTGGCAACCAAATTTGGTGGTGCTTTAAGACGCAACCATCAGGATTGCTGGTTGCCAGTTCTGCGTGAGGCAAAGAGTGACTACAACGTGGTCCCGGCCTCTGCTTTGCTCCTTGCCAAAATTGCACCAGATGAACAGCTCCCACACCCCCCCAAAGGGCAATTTTAGTCGGTGGTTCTACTACCTGTCTAGTTTGGATTATAGTTGCCATATAGCCTTTCCAACCATGTCGTTAGAACCAAACGTGAATGGGTTTTGGGCGCTCAGGTTCGCTGTGGTTTTGGGCGGGACATTGGGGACTCGCTGAGAATTTAACCACAAAAACCAGGGGACTGTTTTTGTCTATGTAGAGGGTGTTTGGACCTTTCCACCCCCAAGCCTTTTCTTTGACCTCCATTTCTCCTCTTGGTTTAAGGGCAAACAAAACAGCACAAAACAACGATGGGTTGGAGTCGAAAAAACCGAGGGAGTCCCCCAAAATGTCACCCCCTTCAACAACAAACTATCCTTCAACAACAAACTATCCGGGCACGGGGGGTGACGCTGACCCCTGAGTCCGGAGTGCTGAGTGGATCTCGAGGATGGAGCTGTTCCTCTCACAGGAGGGGGAAATCCATCGAAAGATCTTTGGGCCGCAAATCTTCAAGCAGTTCCAGGCGAGAAATCCGCAGATCTTTCGCGAAGCGTCCTTTGGTCCCTTGCAAGGTACCAAATGGCGCCTTACCCCTCACACACACACAATCCTCAAATGGCAAGACCCTTCGGGATACCTTTTCAGGGTTTGGGGTTTGGATTGCCAACGTTCGTTGAGTTTCCCTTTGGGTGATGTTTGAAAAACATGTCAGTCTGAGGGGATGGCACAATGGAGGTCTCAACCCTAAACCTCCATTGGTGCAATGAATCAAACCGTCAGAGCTGCGCTCAATCCTGGGCTAGCTACCTCTTGTTGGTGTACCTTGAGAAATAGATGACTACTTGTGCAGTGTGCTTTCAGAGAGTTGCTCAAACTTGTGTCCACCCTATGCTGTTCTGAAATCCCAGTATTTTTTTAGGAACCCAAACCTTAATCCACATTTGAGACACCAAAATCATATATTCAGAGCAGGTTGCATATATTATGTTAACATAGGACCTCAAACATGCTGGTTCCCCTAAAAGTATTGCAGACCCCAGAAAGAAATCGGGGCTCTTGAGGCCATGCGGGAGATCTTGCTGGCTGGCGACACCAATCGCCTGGTGGCAGAGTTGACCTTCGCCTGCTGGCAGAAAAAAAGAGAGAGCCGTCCGGGTTCTGTGTTCTCAGAAGCTATAGTTACAGTTTGAGGTAGCTAACCTCAATCATCCGAGCATCTTTTTTTTTGGGGGGGAGTCCTTAGACACACACATATGTTAAGGATAACAAAATATGAAGCAGACTCAGATACATATTCCATGAAATGATGTTGCATTTCAAGCTTTCAACTCTTGGGGGGTTCCCCTGAAAATCAACCGCCAAGAAAGGGCACCCTTTGCTTCCCATGCAAATCCACTGGTGGTTGCACGTGAGACTGGTGCAACCCTGTCAAACCATGTTTTCAACGCATGCCAATATCGAAGAATGGGAGGTACCACCTGTTCTCATCGAACCTGTTGTTTGCCAACGTCGCTGTTTTGTTTCAGTTCAAAATGTGAACATATGTTGTTTTCTCCCTGCACACCGGAGGGGTCCCTCAAGCTGCCGTTGGGCGACTCAACGGACCTGCGGTCAGGTTCGGATCAATGATTTGGCCGCACCACCTGAGCCGCTGCACCCATTGATGCGACTCTGGCGCACAGCTTGCCTTGAATCAGTATGGTTGCTCGGAAAGCCATCGTCTCGCAAGGCGCATCGCTGGCAATGGTTTGAACCAAGTGGTTTGTGTGTGTGTGTGTGTGTGTTGTTTTTGTCGAAATGCAAATTCCCGGTCCTTTTTGGACTCTCCAAGTGTGTTGCGCTTGCAGCCGAGCCGCTCCTCAAAGTGAGGTACGTGGAGCCCTTTGTGGCTATCCTCATCGTTCTCAACGGAGTTATGATGCCTGGAAGCAATTGGTGTGACCGTGTAACCCTTGGATGATTTGAGGCCGCTCGATGGGAAACCACCCCGAACCTCCAATCCAAACCACCAATTCGAGGGAGGCCTTAGCTGAATTGGTGTGTTCCTTTTCCAGCAGGGTAAGAGAACAGCTGAAGCGAGAAAGAAACATGGCCAGATTGGCATTGTCAAGCACAGAAACACTCGCAAGGGGAACAAGCTTGCAAGGAATCGGATGAAAATCTTATTGAGTTGCCCAGGGCTGTCGGCCGTATCCCAGCTGAAGCACACCCAATTCGCACGCCGGAGAAAGTCCATAATATGTGGCATGCAAAGGTTTGTGGCCATAGACTTGCCAAAAGGTAGGAGCTGCGAGGCATAGACATGTATGGTGTGCGTGTGTGTGTGCCAAGCAGCGTGAGGTACGATAAAGTGCATTTGGCAGTGTCTCGTGTTTGACTGCTGATACATAGTTTGCCGACAATGTTGCTGGACCCTTTGGCTTCCGAGAAGGCGGTGTTTGGTTGAGCGATTCGGCATCTCTTCTGCTTCTCGTTCAGATGTTGGAAGGATTGAAAAGGCTGGTGCCAGAGTCACCCTCCAAATTAAGTCGGGTGAGGGGAGGCGACAGTGCCTGCTGTGGCAATATCAGTTGGGTTATATTTGTGTTGGGTGCTTGCTAAGCTGGTGAGGAGAATCGACATGGTTTCATTGTTCCAAGACAACTAGACCACTGAGATTGGGGTCTCCTGACTCTCTTCGTCAATAGCAACTCATGCGCCAACTTCCGCCGCATCGCAAGCTCTTGGCTGACCTAAGGATTGGCTTCCAGACCGACCCCGTCTTCGAAGAGTGGGGTGGCTGCTTGAAACCACATTCGCTTCTGACTCTCACAAACCAGACGCTCTGACCCTTGAGAATGTAGATTATACAACCGGCGGTACCGGGCAGAGTCCTTGTCAACAAACATACTCTTCAACAGGTTATTTGCTTCCACCATAAAATGCGGCCTGGATTGTCAAGAACAGGTATACGATGCTGGACGACTTAGGCATTGGGTAGAGACTTTGTCCGTCTCCCAAAGCGCTCTGATTCAATTTGAGATGCACACAGGCCTTGCTCTTCCCCAAATTGGCGGGTTACCATGCTCATGCTACTTGGGCATGACGAACAAATTCACTGAATAGCAGGGACGTGCCAAGGGGCCCTGCGCAGCTTCTCCAGAGGCGGCGTCCCAACCCAAGCCTCATGGGCGGCCTTCACCATCCCTTTGAGCGCTTTCCGTTTTCAACAGACCGTGCATTTATTCATGGGGTACGGCACATGGTTAGCCATGGGTTATGTAAAATCCGTGCGAAGCAGAGAGAATGAGATACTTGTACCTGATGTCCTGCCCGTTGCAAAGGCCCGGAGGTTTTCGCGAAGCGAGCTTTTGCTTTGGAATGAGCTGGGCAGTTTCACCGCAAAGTAAGAACAGCGGTCAGTGAAACTGAGGCTGGATATACTTGGAGATCACCTTCTCCTCTTTTCTCGTTATCGAAACCCTTCTGCGCATGCGGCTAGGCAGAAGTAGACCAACGGGGTCTGTTTCAGAGGCCAGGTCCACATGCTGCGGCATTGTGCGTTTTCAAAGGAAGCAGAGAGTGCGACGATTCAATCAGACGCGCTTGATCTGATGTAAGGCATCTGCTGGGATGTGGCATCTTCTGGTGCGGTGACGACAAGATTTGGAATTGGCCACCTGGCAGTCAGTGTGTCAGTGTGTTTGTGTTTGTGTTTGTGTGTTTTTGTGCTTGCTGCTTTTGCCGCATGATTTGCGGCCATACCCAGGGGAGTTACAAGCTATTCGGGGCCAGGAGAGCTACAAGCTATAGGGGAGTTCAACAATTAGGGGATTACAAACTGCTAAACTTATAATTTATGATACTTTAGGGCTTGTGGCTCTCATCAGCGTTTGCTTTGGCATTGGCGTCAGCGTATTTCGAGCTGAGTTGGACGCGTTTCACAGGTGCAGGACATGCAAGCCCTGAACCCGATTTACAAGCCTGACATGATGGCGTGGGTCAAGCTTGATTTTCGAGTTGGAAGGGTGTTCCGGCAAAAGGGTTGAAAGTCAATGCTGTATGTTTAAGCCTATTTGCTCCGGATTGTCAACATACAGAACATTTTGCTTGCATTGTTTTCTCATTTTGTTTTTTGCTGCATGGTGAACTTCTGGTCCGCCAATTTTAAGACATGACATACGATTGGAGCCTCAAGTGAAGGACCTACAACATGGCTTTCGCCCGGTTTACCCTCTCTTTTTTCGGTGGAATGTCTCGAAACGCAGAATACAGTGTTACAGGCGGAGGAATCCAGCAGGCTGATTGAGTCCGCCACCAGTTCGTTCGTTTTCGCAGAATGATGCATGCATAGGAACCGCCTGACCAGCTAAGGTTTGATGTGGTCTTGGTGGTCACGGGCGTCACCGACGCCGGGCCCTTGAGTTTTTGTCTTTCTCAAAATGGACCCTTTTTGGTTGGTATTTAAAGGGAAGCAACAGGAAACCATCCATTTCATGGAGACTCTTGAGAAACCAATTGATCAGTGCGGGAGTAGATGTGTTTTTGCACCTGCAACCTGCCTGACCATTGAATTGCAGGGCTGGCCGCTCAGGCTTTTACCCCAACATTGAAGACAAAAGAATCAACCTATTTGATTTTGGACTTCCCCAGATATGAGCCAAGGTTAATCTGCTGCGAAACAGGACATCATGGAAACCTCGACCTGTCAGGGGAATGCCAGTACACTGTATGTGCGTCTGTGTGTGTGTGTGTGTTTGTGTGTGTTACGTCAAAACTGGCGGCTGGTTCCAAGGCGAGTCTTCCAAGAAAAGGTCAACAAACGATGCGTTCATCCAACCTGGTTCGGCACAAACTGAAAAGGACTGGACCAGATAGACCTTCCACACACACACACACACAACGCCCACACCCACACGCACGCACACACACACACACACCCGCGCGCGCGCGCACGCACACACACACACACCCACACACACACACACACACACCCACACGCGCACGCGCACGCGCACGCGCACGCACACGCGCACGCGCACGCGCACGCGCACGCGCACACCCCACGCCCCACGCCCCACGCCCCACGCCCACGCACACGCACACGCACACGCACACGCACACGCACGCGCACGCGCACGCGCGCACGCGCGCACGCGCACGCGCACACACGCGCACACACGCGCACACGCGCCCACACACGCCCACACAGGCCCACAAACGCCCACAAACGCCCACAAACGCCCACAAACGCCCACGCGCACACACACGCACACGCACACGCGCACGCGCGCGCGCACGCGCGCGCACACGCACACGCACGCGCACCCGCACGCGCACGCGCACGCGCACCCGCACGCGCACCCGCACACTCACACGCACACGCACACGCACACGCACCCGCACCCGCACCCGCGCCCGCACCCGCGCCCGCGCCCGCGCCCGCACCCGCACCCGCACGCGCACAGACACAGACACAGACACGCACGCACGCACACATGCAAGACACTCACAGACACAGAGACACACAGAAACACACAGAGGCACACAGAGACACATACAAACGACACACAGACACACAGACACACACACACACACACAATTACATACACACACACAGACGCACACACAGACACACAGACACACAGACACACAGACACACAGACACACACACACACACAGACACACACACACAGACACGCACACACACACACACAGAGACACACACAGACACACACACAGACACACACAGACACACAGACACACATACACACAATTACATACACACACACAGACGCACACACAGACACACAGACACACAGACACACAGACACACAGACACACAGACACACACACACACACACACACACACACACACACACACACACACACACACACACACACACACACACACACACGCACACGCACACGCACACGCACACGCACACACAACACACACACGCGCACACACTCACACGCACACGCACACGCACACGCACACGCACACGCACACGCACACGCACACGCACACGCACGCGCACGCGCACACGCACACGCACACGCACGCGCACGCGCACACGCGCACGCGCACGCGCTCGCACGCGCACGCGCACGCGCACGCGCACGCGCACGCGCACGCGCACGCGCACGCGCACGCGCACGCGCACGCGCACGCCCACGCACACGCACACGCACACGCACACGCACACCCACACCCACACCCACACACACACAAACCCAAGTTGAAATCATGGCAACCGCTGGTGTTTGGCTGTTTGTTTGGTGCTGGGTGCCAGGTATTTCGAACTCTTGGTTGCTTGGCGGATTTGAGAAGTGAAGCCCGGTATTGTTGGTATTGACACCTTTCACTGTTGCCCACCCAACCGCCGCATCCACTGATCACCAGGAATTGAAGCCACCGCATCCAAATCAACCTGAGGGGGACCATTTGTTCCCTCCCCAACCTGCTTTGCAAGCAATCCGTCACATGGAGATCCAAACCCAGGAGTTTGTGGTTGGAGAAGCGGGTTCCTAACCCCAACTAAGTTATGAAGATGAATTTTGGTTCAGGGGGCAGGGTGGCTGTTGCCATTCCTTTGTTTTTTTTGTGCTCGCCAATCTTCCAGCTTGGGGTGGTTACCATCACCTGACCATCCACTACTGGCCTGTTTTTTTAAAGTGGGTATTTTCCTATGTCTGGTCAGACTTCAGACCTCAGACATGAGCCACAGTCAGAACCCGGGCAAGTGAAAGTTAGGGCACCTCAAAACGGCGCGGACATCCGCCCTTTTGAATCCTTACCATGGGTTTGGGTAGACCACTCAAACAACGAGGTTTTGATTGTGACTCACCTGGGTGTTTGTCAAACCTCTTTTTTTTGGATGGCTTTTAGAAGCAAAAAGAGAACCAAGCGCACGAAACAGTATCATTTTTGTTTTTTAAATGAAGCGCCCATTTGACCGCTCAGGTGGTGGTGCAACTTGTCCGCCAGCGACGCAGCGACATCTTCGGCACCTCTCTGCTGCGGTTCTGCCGTCTGATCCGCCTGGTGCGCATCGTGCCGCCTGGATCGAAGCCCGAAGCCCGAAGCCGTCGGACGAGAAGACAAGGAGGCCTTGGCGGTCCAACCTCTTCGCTTTCTGATTTTGGCCCGACTTCAGTGCTCTATTCTCTAATTTCCGGGCTCTACCCATTCAATTTTAGGGCTTTGTCCTTTAGTTTTGGGCTCGAAGCGGTTGTTGCTGGGGCTGTGATTTGCGGAATTGTATTGACGTTCGGCCTGGCCCCACGATTTCAAGTTTGGCCACGGGTTAGCCTCGCGATTGGGCCAAGATGAGGTTTACCAGCCAGGCAGCAAGTCTTTTCACTCACTTCTCCTAACACATAGTTTGAAAACAAGATCCTAACTCCAAACCAGTCTCGAATTGAGATATGGTTTGAATGGTGGCAAGCGCCATGGTCAAGATGCTCATAACGCACAACTGCAAAGGCGGCTGAGAGGCTAACCTACATGAAGCACAACTCCAGACTCCATAGCTCAGCTAGATGAGATACATTGCCGACTCAAACCCTGCATGAGATGTATGATGTCTTGCAGAACCCGTGCATGCCTTGTGCTCGGGGATGGCTGGTCAGCCTCAAATCCGTTTGTTGGCGATGCCTTGCAACTACAAATTGCCATGGGCGCCAGACGTGGATGTGGGAGTGTTTAAAGGCAAACCACCATTGTGGGGGCAACCGTATTTTGACCCACACCCATGTATTTGCACAAGCAAGTTATCTCTCTCTGCAGTTGGCCTGGCTGTGCGGCCTAAGGCTGACTCTCAGATTCCCAGTACTTACTTTAGTATTGCCAATTCTACTTTAGTATTGCCAAGGCCCTCTGAGATTCTCAGTACTTACTTTAGTGTTGCCAATTCTACTTTAGTGTTGCCAAGGACCGCTTTTTCAAAATTGATGCTTTGGGAGCAACTTGCAAAATGGATTTCCTAGATCTCAGGCCTTTAACCTTTAAAGGAGGTGTAACATTAGTTTTGATGGCAGGCGCGGCGTTTGCGCAATGCTGGCGTGGACGTGTTGCAAATCCCACAAGGTCAAGCACAGATTTCATGGCAGGCGCAGCACTTTCGCAGGTCGTACAGATGTCGGTGCGTTCGCAAGGCCAACAGACTTCGTGGCAGGTGGCACAGTCAGGTACAGATTGTGCGGCAGGCGCAGCGCTTTCGCATAGATTTCGTGGCAGATAGATGGATGGATAGATGGATAGATAGATAGATAGATAGAAGGATACGCAGATCTTAGGTTGACAGAGAGAGAAAGATAGACAAATAGACGGGGAGAGAGGGAGAGATTGACAGATGGATGGATGGGTGGACAGCTAGCGAGAGAGATACGGATAGATGAACAGATGGGAAATAGATTGATAGATAGGTAGAGAGACAGAGAGGGATAGATAAACGGATGAGGTGGACAGATAGACTGATAGATAGATAGAAAGATAGACAAACAGACTAGCGAGATAGACATTTTATAGCCAAAAGACAGATAGAGAGATAAATAGGTAGAAAATTAGCTTGCTAGATAGAGAGGAGAGAGAGAGGGAGAACTACGTAGGGTGGTAGACAGGTTGGCTAACAGATAAAATTGTCAGTTTCGTGCGCTGCGTTTGCACTTGATGGATTTGTTTTCCGGGCTTGTAAATTGGTGCGGTTGTGACTTGGGCATATGGCGCTCGCACGCATCACATCGATCATGGCAAAGCGCCAACGAAATGTACAAAACCAGCAAAAAAGCGTTTCAGCTTTGTTGATCAACACACAAGCACGGGCATGACGCAATGATGTTTGTGTTTTGCCCTGCGGGGAGGTGGGGGGGGCATTTACATATTCCATATTTGCGCGCGAAAAGCGCACAAACGCACGCGTTCAACACGAAGCTGCTGTACACGATCTCACAGGTAGCTAGCGTGTTGCAGAAAGCTAAGCGTTCCATATGGCTCCACTCCAGCCGAGGCGTTGGAGTTTCAGAGCGGGGAAAATCAGGGTCCGCTGACAACTAGGATGGCGCACGGGCTGGGAACGAGGAGGGTCAGGCACTTCTGGCAGCAGAGCAAGAAAACCGTGGGAAGCGTCATAGGAAAAGAGACACGGCCAGAGACAGAGAAGAAGAAAAGAAACACGGCAAGAGGAAGAGAAAGAGAAAGAGAAAGGAACGACGGAAGGGAAGTAAGGAAGTAAAGAAAGAAAAGGCAGGAAGGAAAGGAAGGAAAGAATGAAGGAAGGACGAAAGACAGAAATAAATCAAAAACGAAAAGTGGAAAGAAAGGAACAAATTCAAGAAAACTGGAAATCAACAAAAGAAAGGGAAAGAGAACTATAGTTGTTATACTTTTGAAATTTCCGCCCACTTGCTTCGCCGGCTCTACTGGTAGATCCCCAGTTCACTTCTGGAAGGTCGCTGGGGGGCCAACAACTATGCCCCACATTGTGCGAGCCAAGGAAAGTTTTCCGCCTGAAGTTCATGAAGGATCTTCGGCTCATGGTCAAGGGCTTGGTGGCCGGCATCCGGACGCTAATTCTAGCGTTTACCTTGCTGCTGTCTGTGCTGTATGTGCGCCTTGGCCAATGGAGTTCGACACAGGCAACAGGATTGCTCCAAACCGAAGCAAATGGGAATGTTAGTTTTCCGATGAACACACCCTGCTTGATAAACAGCGAGGATCCCGTTGTGAGTGGGAACCCTTTCGTTTGGTGGGTGAACCCTTCTAGGGGGTCTGACCTCGATAAGGAAAAACAACACCACGACAAGAAGGCAAATAACGAGAGTAGGGTTTAGACACGGGATGAAGGGAAACTGAAGGGAAAATGAAGGGGACATGAAAAAACAAACATCAAGAAATTGCAGCGATCAGAAAACAGATAAAGCACGATAAGAGCCTATGAGGAACATGATCGGGAAATTAAGGGGAGATGAAGGGGAAATCAAGTGAAATGAAAGGAAATCAAGGGCACTGACAGGATATGAAGAGGAGTCAAAGGCAAATTAGAGGGACATGAAGAAGAAATTGGCTGGTTAATACAGGGTTCTCATGGGGGCATCTTCGCTTTCCTGTTCCGCGGGCCAAATTCCTAGCCCTCAAGCTTGGAATGTCGTCCGTTGTCTAGCGAGGATCTCGGGCTTCGCAACAATGACCATCGGGAGCAGCCCTGATGCGGAAGAACTGGAACTGACGCACCACTTCCGGAACTTGCCAGTGCCACATGGCAAAGAGTTGGCTGGGCAGTTGCTATGCAGTCTTGCCTTTGGCGATCATTCATATCATCATGCTACGCATTTCCTGGCCCGAGCCCTAGCATCCGAGCGCTCAGTGAGCTGGAGGTCGATGTTTACGTCTTTCCGATGCTTCACCGGGGAATGCACCAATGACTTAGGCAGGGGGGTCGATGCTGTCGTTGATCCAGAACTCTGAGGAAGGACATTGCTCAACTGGTACGATGCGTGGGTGGCTGGCTGGGTGGCTGGGTGGCTGGCTGGGTGGCTGGGTGGCTGGCTGGGTGGCTGGGTGGCTGGCTGGGTGGCTGGGTGGCTGGCTGGGTGGCTGGGTGGCTGGCTGGGTGGCTGGGTGGCTGGCTGGGTGGCTGCGTGGCTGGGTGGGTGGCTGCGTGGCTGGGTGGGTGGGTGGGTGCAAGCAGGTCTTTTGTGTGTGTTTCAGAGTATCCAGCCGGCCGTCTTTTTTTTTGGTTTAACCGTGGCTATGAGTTTCTACAAGAAACAGAAATAATCTCCAAAGTGGTTGGTGGACATGTGTTCCTTCTAAACGATCTCCACCAGAGGATCCTAATTACAATCCATATTCGCAGAGGGAGCACACCTGCGTACCAAGCGTTATTGCTGCCAGGAGTTTGGGTTGCGCGGCTCCTTTGTTAGGCAGTTCAAACCAAATTGTGGCAATAATTACAAGGGACTAAATCATTACACACATGATTATCTTATGATCATTACTAAATGTGGCTTCCCAAGTACCCCGTTCTAAATTTGTTGACCCTTATAGTACATGGGCAGCACCGTGTGCGTTTGCCTAGCGGAGCTTTTCTGCTTGCGTGCAGCGGATATGTTTGGAGCATGTCATGCTGTCTTGCTTTGTAAGGCTTGCCATTTGACACCCCCTTGCGAATTGGAAAGAACATACTGGGACCCCTGAAGGAGGGGGTCCCCTGTGTCATTGAAGAATGCCCAGGGTATCCGATCACCTCGCTGCTTGCCGAGCGGATGGGCCTTCCGCCCCTCGTCACTGTATGCATGCAGTGATTAATTTCAGGTGAACCATGGGGACCCTGGCTTCTTTTGAAGACTGGGGTTTTTGAGAAGGTGTGTTTTGTCGCTGCTGCCTGTAACTTGGTTGGCGTTGTCAATCTGTGCTGAGCGGTTGAGCAAGAACTGGCGAACGCTGGATTGGCGCTTGGCTTGCTAGATGAGGCCAATTTGGCTGCATGGTTGTCTGGTGGCTGGTGGTGTTTCTGAACTACATCATGTCAAATCCCCAACCTGGTTCAGTCGAGCTATCGAAGGGCATCGCTCGATTCGCGAAAAATTGCATCTCGCTGCGAAGCCAAGGTTTATCATGGGTTACGTCATGAGCTACATGCTAGTATCCATGGGCAGCTTGGTGCAAGTGCAAGGCACCGAGTACAATCGGAAGCAGCCGACGTCTGAGGTGACCCCCCCCTCCCCTGCACTCCCAGAAGGTCAAACCGCTGAGACGGGTTCTGGGAGAGAAATTGGTCTGCGGGACAATCATACTTGTAGGTGGCTGCTCTTCGAGTTTGAGCACGCACCCGAAACTTAGATAAAGCCTGAGTTGAACTGTTGTTTTTTGCGGGAAATGGTTTGCCGAACGTTGATTAGGGGTGGTCCCAGATTGTTTAGTATTGGATCATTGTTGGTATTCAATCTTGTTAATCCAATGTCGACCCTACCATGATGCCGGAGCGGCGTGTAGAATTGACTGCACAAAACACCGTGTTGTGGCCCAAGAGGGCCAGACCACTGCGTTTTGGCTTATTCTTGGCCAGACTTGATTTCATGAGCTGCTCCGCTTATTTGCACAGCAGGGAATCGCGGGAATCCCACATTGCCAATCCTAGGCATTTTCAACGTGATCCTTGCAGCTGCTTGGCTTACAGAGAGATAGAAGCGCCTGGTGGCGCTTCGAGCCTCGATTGAACGGTTCGATTTTGAGCTTCGAGCTCAGAGCTTGCGCGACTTCATTGGTCTGCCTTTTGTGGCGTGAAGGCGATTGGAAAGGCCCTGCGGGCAGGGCCTTTCCCATCCGGTGCAACATAGGCAGATATTTTGTGGCAACAGTTGGTTGGTCATGATGTTTGGAAGACTGGAATTGTGGTAAGATATACTTTCTTTGTTGGCAACCGGCAAACCCAGGCTTACATCTCTGTGGTTATATGTAGAGCGTAATTTGGGCATAATTTGGGGATGTCACTTTGATGGACCCGGCAATGCAAACCATAAACAGGCACTGGAGTTCCTGCCTCAACTTCGCGCAGCCGCCTTGGGGCATCGGAAGTGAGCACCTCAATTTTGGGGACAGTCTGAGCTTGGGACATTGGCCCTAGCTTCGGCTCTTCAGCAAGACGCGCATGGCAGGAGTACATGCTACGCCCCCCTCTGGCCTAGATGGGGAGAGAGAGACTCAGAGAGAGAGAGAGAGAGATAGCCCAAGTCTTCTCTCTATGATCATTTCCCAATCAATGAATTCAAACTGACAAACTATATCAAAATTATGGTGTTGCAGTCCATGTCCAAGCCGAAACTCGGTCCAAACTCGCCCCTGCTCAATCCACTTCCTTGAGGTGGGCCTTTTGGGCTGGCTTTCATGGGACACCAAAGGGGAAGCCACACTTTTGGGCCCCACCTAGTTGTGCACGCCCAGGTCTATGTGGAGATCACTATGAAGGCCGCCAAGGACGGCAGAGATGGCGGGTTGAGTCTTCCATCCCAACGTGGCCACCCCGTTTAGCTGCCAATCGGGCTGACATTTTCATGTTTCTCAAGATTACTTAGGCGGCTTTCCTACATACCGCCAGACCCATTTTTGCTGGGCAAAATTATTCCCACGGCGCCCCAGCCTTGTTGGCAAACAAGGCAGATCGACCAGGCAATTTTCGGAGCCGGTAGCCTAGTCACGCTTGAGCGCTTGAAAAGTTAATTTCATGAACTGTTTGAGAACTAGTTGACAGCTTTGCAAGGGTTGCATCAACTTATGCTCATTGCTGCAGGTCAACAAGTGAAAACAAAGGTCTATGAAGGTCTGCATCCAGCTTATCCAGCTTTGTCACCTTGAGTTGCTCCCTGTGCTCAAGCGCTTTTGCAGCAACTTGACGAAGCCAAACTCTGCGCCAGCGCCTGCAGTACGTAGTGCCAGGCATTCCAACATGTTCAATGGCTGAGAGGCCGAAATTGCCTCAACGCCTCATGTAAATCATTTATTGTAGGCATTGCAACATGTACGGGGTCCAAGCTGGGAGTACCCAAGTGCCCTTTGAGCAAGCACATCAAGTTTGTGAGCAGCCCCATGTCGACCAGTTGGCCTTTGTCAAACTCTTGCTCGCAATATTCACTTGGTAATTTAAAGGCATGTCGACGCAGATTCTGGCAAGTATGGCTATCACATTGAATAGGGAACCACCTCAAAAGAAGTCGGTGGGCGCAATTTCCACCATATTAGAAAAGAATGATCACTGAAAGGCTTCCGACCTGCTGGTCCAAAGTTGCTGCCCAAACATTGGGTGGCTCGTTGCCAAATGGTTTGGCTGTCACTCTTCTGATTTTTTGTTGCAATGGAAGGGTTGCCGCCATTTGGGGCGTTGAACATCTGAACTTCATACTCACTCATGTTGTTTGTTTACTCTATTTGCTCATTCACTGGTTAAAAGATGCAGTCAGAATGGCTTAGGAACCTATTACTTATTATTGGGTTTAGTTTTTGGATTTTCCGGTACATTAACATTTGTCCTCATAGGAATATGATATATTCATCAGGGCGTAAGATTCTTACTTTCAACAAGTCTCTACTTTAAACATCACCCCACAAGAAAATGTCAACCTAGAAATCGAAATCCGTCGTGTGGGAAGGACAAGGACGGCACCCCAACATCACCTGTTACACATAGCCAAAAAGGTCATGGTTTAGCTAGCTAACGGTAACATATTTTCGGAACAGTTTTTGATTACTCCGATACTTCAACCAAGGGTGGGCGATTTGGATGTGTCTCTTTTTGAGGGGACGCTTTTTTGTTTGTTTGAAAGGGATACCCAAGGGAGACAACCCTTTAGGGATTTTAGGGGTTTCCTGTTTTAAGGCACACCCATGTCTCCCAATGGACGACCCTTTGGGAGGAGACGGAAGCCACCACAGCAGAGCAGTACGCCCGTGAGTCTATCCGTGTAGCAAGGACAACTCGTTCCTCGGTACCAGGAAGGGATGAGGAGCTGCACAGAGCAGCCACACCTCATGAGGGATTTCTGGTGTTCGGAGGTGAACAGGGCTTTTTGTGCTAGCTGTCAATGAGCCAGTATTGAGGGATGGATGGATTTTAACTTCAATCAGTGGCTTGTAAGCAGACGAAATGCCACCCCGTGGCCATGCACGGCCTATCCAACCTTCAGCTTTCCTTCCTACATCAGCTGGCAATGCAAGCAACTGCAAACAACTCATATTGTCCGGGGCTCATGTGTTTGAGTTCATATTGCCTACCATGCTCGCCTCCGTGTTCGGATTTGCGCAAATGGCTTCAAGAGAGCCCGGGTGCGTTGCACCGAGGCAATTTGAGGCACAGATGTTCCAAAGTCTTACTGCAGGGGTGATGTTGCAAAGGAAGAAGCTACTCATGTCGGTTCGACATGATTCGACACGTGCTATGGTCAGATGCAGCACGGCAAAGAAGCCACACTTGGCCTATCTTGATGTACTATTGCTATTTCCTGCGTGCTTGCAGGATGCGTGTTCAAACACATCGTGTTTGCAGGATGTGCGGGTGCGCAGGTGTGTTTCTGTGTGTGTGTGTGTATGTGTGTGTGTGTGTCTCTCTCTCTCTCTGTCTCTCTCTCTCTGTGTTCCTTGAGAATGATAGGAAACCAGCTACGATTCGAAGTACTTTGGAACGTGTTCACTTTCCTGTCGCAGGAAGACAATAGGCCACTGCCCAGTAAGGGCCAATCATGCATGGTATCCAAAAATGACAAGTTGACCGCACTTTGGCTGCCCAGAAAAGCTATGATAGCAATTTCACCCGACTTAACATAGTGGGGGTTGACAACTGCTGAGTGACGGGTCTTTACCATGTCTCCAGCATTTGGTGGTTCAAAGTGTTTTTGCTGGCGATGGCCTGTCGACGTTTGCAGATGTTGGGTCAGAGTTCGGAAACGCGTCAGTTTGATGCCTTTAATTTCCTTATGCCTTTTTCATCCTTTGGAGGGACCTTGACCAATTTCCGCCCTGCCAAAACTGTTCTCAAAGGGCAAGTAGCAAGAAATTGCGGTGCTTCCAAGTAGTTTACCTGAGAAAAAAGGGGCCCTCGTTCGTGTTCTCCGAGGCGAGCTGCTGAAGAAGTTCGCCGCGGCATACCGGCTCTTTCAAGAGCTGGATGAGAAGGACAGGGAACCAACCGCGGGGTTTGTTTGGGTCTCTGTCTACAGGTTTGGGATGCAAGCTTTGTTGGGTTTTAGGGGGTTTGAGGCTGGTGGTTATATCACTCGGGCTGTTTTTGTTGAGGCTCGTTGGTGCAAGATGGAGTCTTTGCTTAAAGGTCTGGGCTTCGGAGCAGCTTTTGGGAGGTTCCATTATTTTGACACACACGTCATTTACAGAATGGGACGCTACAAAGGCCCTGTTTTTTCCCCAGCAGAAAAAGCAGAAAAAAAAACATGCTGAGGTAAAGAATCCTTTCTTAAAATGCTCCTTTCATCTGATTTGGTGTTCTGCGCACAGACGCAGACCAAAGCCGAGAATGGTCTGGATAGGTTATGCTGTCTACGGGTCTGGGGGGGGGGGGAGCGAAGAAAAAGCAAAGACTTAAACAAGGTAAATGTTATTTTTTGCGCTTTTGTTATTATTAATACATTTTTTTCGCTCCCTCCCCCCCCCTCCCCCCCCAAGACTAGGTAGACTCGGCCTCCCCCAGACTCCCCCAGACTCGGCCCAGGATCACTGGGACCCAGATAGGTCAGCCTTTAGTGTCCCCTATTCGCAAAGTTCAAGGATGCCCTCTTTGCTTGCACAGCTTCCTAGACGTTGCACGTGATTCAGTTGCTTAGATTTGAACTTATATAATGGGTCACTGCATTTATATACTAAACGGTGCATTTGAATGGCTCATGCTCTTGGCTAGTGTTTGCAGCTTGGGCATTTGCATGAAAAGCACCGGAGTGGAAAGCCTCTTGTAGCATTGATGATGCAGGATTGGAAGTGGTTGCCAAAGCAGTGATGGCTAAAATAATATCTGCCACTAGCAACAACATTGGTTGCTGCCTTGCTTGACCTTTAACGGTTCTAAAAGCAACAATTCTATGCATGTTGGTTGTGGGCCCATGTGGATGTAGTATTCTCATGTCTTTCCTTGTGCATCATTTGTTGAAGGTTAGGCCAATGTGCAGCGGTGTCATCAGGCTGCTGGGTTGCTATTGGTTAGCATAGAGAGTTTAGCTATTGCCAGAAGTGGGTACCTCGCTTCAGTGAAATTAGTGTTTCCATCAAGAACAATGTTTTCATGTAGCCAGAGCAATCCTACGTTCCATCGTTTTGTGTTTTTGAAACCTAAGTTCTTTTGCGGTTGACCAGAAGATCTCTACTTATCAGCATTTGCTTTGATGACCTATGGAGGGCGCACGTAGAATAAGGTGTTTTCTTGCCATACCAGCTTTTGCATGCCACCAGTTTGTTTTGCAGCTCGAGAACCTATTCCTGATGATGTAGAAATTGATGTTGCCCACTTGCATTTCCTGATCTGTTGGCAATATGACTAGTGGTTTGCAAAGAATCAAGCATATCAAGTAGGGAGAACACCCTCATTTCCAGCTCCCACATGAGATGGCAGCAGCGCATGGCAAACACACACGTTCCTCCACTGAGCTCTGGTAGTCTATGGCAAGTGTATTTCTTCCACACGGAAGCTATATTGAATGTGAGACAAGTTCATGTAGCTGAACCCATGTGCACTCGATGCGTTTCAGCATTGATGGTATTGACACAAAACTGTTTTCCACTGTCGGCAGCACTACAGTCAACAAGAGCAGCCACATGTGTCTAATGTTGCTTTTGGTCGGCACGTCATCCTTGAGAACCGATGCATAGAGGATGATGTATTGGGCTGTCCTGAATGCGTTGGTCTCATGTTGCAAATCTGTGGCAGGAGCCCCTTAACCCTTCATCATCTAGATATAACTGTTAGGTTCTTAGATGGAACTCGTAGATTCAGAATGATTCTGCTGTAGTGTTGCCGGATCTTGGTATCAGTGGAGAGTGTAGGTAGAGCAGCTCCAGAACAGATAGCTTTGTCCTGCATGCACATTCGCTGTCACTTGTGCTAGGATGTGAGTCTGCTTCTGCAGTTTACGTGGTATTATCATAACAATGAACTCCGCATGTTTTGTGTCCTCAAGCAAGGCGAGGGCAGCGCTTCAAACATCACTTGTTTGAACAAAAAAACAGGGCCCGCCGGGTGTCGCGTTCTCTTCATTTACGACTCTGGGGGAACCATCATGCAGAATGATGCCAACAAAGCATCAAGAGTACTAACAGCATCTAAAGATAATGACCAAATGACACAACACTGAGTCAACATGGCCCATGTTCGTTTTTTGCCGAAAAGAAACCAAGGGGGGGTAAGTGTTCAAATTCCTGAACACCAAATGCAATGAGAAAATGATGAGGGCGATGCGCTCTTTTACGTTTGTATGATCAGCATGTGGTGTAGACCTTTCTTTCAACAGCCTACACGGACCTACAGAGACTCTTTTCTCACGTCCGTCTTTGCAGGGATTCTACACCGACATCAATGCTAATTGAGGCTAGGAGTGGCAAGTCGCCACACAAGCAATATGGTTGACAGTGTTCTCACTGTGGGTCTGTCTCAAAATAGGGGGAAACCTGAAATGGGAAGTCTCGTGTTGACGTTCCTGCAAAATCAGAAACAGGTACCCTCAAAAGAAGACACCCCCACACGTTTGGTTTGCCAACTTGAAGCAGCAGATTTGGTCAGCACATGGAGCTGGACACCAAGTAGTGCGACAGAGGTTCACGGGATGGCAAATTGTTTTTAACCAGCCACAGCCTGTTTTCGAAGAAGATTCAGTTCCGTACCTTGAAGCTAATGTGGATGGACAGAATCCTCGTTTTCCCTGGCATTGGCGGGGAGTTTTGCGATTGGGGGGGACTTGCGCTGTTTTGTACCCTCTCTCAGACTTGCATCAGGAGAAGCGCAACTCCGGGTTTAACTTGCGCAGCAATACGGGGATGTTCACCGACGACGACGTGCCTGGATGCATGTGGGCATGGTTCTTTCAACTTGGGCTTCATGTCAGTATCAGGTTCGAGGAATCCCCTAAATCGGATGAATTCCCACTATGGCCACATTAGATCGTCCGTTCATGTATGCTGAGGGAGCAGGGAGCCAAGAGCTCACCCGCAATGGTGTGGGCTTGCTTGATTCGGATCTCGGAATCTTAAGAATGTTGCACATGGTTCTGCATCAAGGTTCTCAGCAAGCTGGGCGCAAGCATCTCATTTTGGGCAGGTGTTTTGTTGAGGGGAAAGCCACCACTTTGGGGGTCCAAGTCCCTTGTTTTGACACGCACACACGCACACAGCCTTTTTCTGCCAGCAGCCAACCGAGCGTCATTCCAGCAAATCACATTGACGTGGCGGATGCTGGAGGGAGTACGCATTCGTATCACTGGGCGGTTCGCAGTTCTCAGTGTGTATGTTGAACCCGTGGACTATCAGGCGGGCTAGTCCACCGCTTGCAGGATGGCATGTACCTGAGACACAGAGGCTTGCACGCAAAGAGTGGACATTTGCAAATGCGGCGTAAGATCTAAGCCTCCTGTCAGGCTCGCTACTAAGCAGCGCTGTGTCTTGAGTGCTGAGGTGCACGACAAAATCGCCCGGGCCCTGTGATAGCAGAAGCCTTCTCTGGGGCTGGTGTCAGCAGATGCAATGGGCTTTGTACCTATTGCAATTCCCACGTGACGGCCAAAATCATTGAAGCGTCAGCAAGTTTCTTTGACAGAGGGACTCAGCTCACAATGCGACCAACCCTCTAGGCGAATAGTTGTCCCCATGGCCATGAGTTTCCACAAAAATTGCGCATTACTTGATGCTCCAGTTCAGAAGCAGGTGATCTTTTATGTCTCCCCTGCAATAATTGACAGGAACTCCCCTCTTTGCGGGGTTCTGAAAAAGAGCATACCCCTAGAAGCGGAGTTGTTTTAACTTTATTCTAGCAGGGGAGTCTAACCGGCTTGCTTGAGGCCATCACGAAGGAGCTGTTCCTGCTGGTCATCCAGGCAGGTTCTTTCCGTAGAGGTTGACATGTTTAGTTATTATGTGAAGTTTGAGCCGAATTATCAATAGTCTATCGTTCACCAAAGGCAACTTGACCATTGATGCACTATGTTCATCCCAAAGGGTCCCTTGGTACGCTTTGAGGAAGGGGTTCTAGGGTGTTAAATGGAGTCAACGGTACCTTCCTTGAAGGTACGACCTAGCCGTCCACCACCTTGTTTTGCTTATTTAGACACCTGTCCTAGGTCTGTCGTGTGAGAGTTGCAAGCTAAGCAGGTTTTGCAATCGGTCGCATGACCAAACCGAGACCGGCACTGTAGGTATGCGATCCCTTAGTTGAGCTGCAAACATTACACCCAGAGGGTCCCTTGGTACCTTTGAGGATAGTTTTTTGAGGGGCTCAACTGGGTCATGTAGTACCTGCTCATGAACAAAAGACAAGGGAAAGATTGGGCTGCAGGCCTCCCTTGCCACGAGTTTGATGAGGTAAAAACCGAGTGACGTACCCAGGACAGGGAAGTGCAGCAGCTGATGGATGAGCTGGATTTGCCGCCTGATCGTGCCAACCTTTTCGAGGCACAGGTTCTGGTGCCGGTCGCACTCAAAATCAGGGTAAGTGGGAAGAGAGAGTCCCAGCGGATGTGCGCCCTTTTTCATGACTTGGTGCCATGGGTTTTGGGTCGACCCTTATACCAGGTAGGATTGCTCACAGAGCTTGCAGACTTTCAGGCGCGAAGCCAGGCAATTTCATGTGCCAGTCTCTTGCTGAGTTCCTAGACATTTTGGGGACCATTCGCAAGGTCTCTCAAATTGGCTTTGTGCCAATTTCAAACATTCCATGCTGTGGCCCCAAAATACTCGCAGGAACCCAGTCCGCTTTTGGACCTTGGGTCCGAGGGAACCCAGATCACTTCCAGGTCATCGACGCGGATGGCAGCGGCACTCTCCACATTGCTGAGCTGGTTCAGGCATGCCAAAGAACGAATCGTGATATAGCCGCGAACTTTAATAGCCACCCCAAAAGTGGTTGGTGGCCCCAAATTCATTTCCACCTAAGGGTCCCCTATTGAAACTCACACCCATATTGCCTTGCTGCAAATCATGCAGGGCAGTGGATATGTTCAACCAGAAGTCAGGTTCTCAGCCAGCAGCCCAAGCACCACACCCATGGCCAAAAATCAGAGGTATTCGTACCGCGGTTACGACTTTGTAGGCCCGCAGTTTCGGGCATGCGGATTCTCTAGAGTTGTTTTTTGGGCGAGGGGACAATCTTGTTGCTGAAACTGGCTAGTGGAAGTCCTTCTATGATTCGAATCAGCTTGACTGGCATCGAGATTCGATGTCCTCAAAGCGAGCCATGGGCTTAAGGACACGGCAAAGCCGCCCGTGTTTGCAGCCGTGTCGCGTGTCTCGGGGGGGGGAAGCAAGAAGCGTTTCGAAGCATGCGCAGGGCTCCATGTGTTGCACCAATGTGGATGTAATATTATTGAGGGTAGCCCAATTTGGGCAACTTTGTAGCAATTCCTGTGGTTGCTATGGACAATCAGGTGTGCCCCCCGGGTGCCCTGATGTGGCAAATGTTCCTTGTTTCCATTTGTCATCATGATCCTTGGTTGGTAGTTTCAGGATCGAGGTTTTTGTAAAGGGGCCGAGGATGCTTTCCGAACAGGTTAAAATGGAGGTCAAACAGCATCTTCGGGGTTGGAAACACGAAGAGGTCCACATTCTCATTTGGATTGTTATATATACTATATATACTATATATATATATGAATGGGTATTTCCTTTTTTCCTTTGAACAGGGGGCCGAATCACATTTGGAGAACCCTTTCGCGCGCGCGAGGGCTTGCTGAAGATCCGGGGGGAGATCAAGAAGAGCGATGCCGTGGCGGCGCTGCTGGCAACCAAGGCGGTGCAGGGCATGGTGGCCGTGCCTTGGAAGCTTTGGGACGTATGGGTCACCGGTTTCTGAGTCGATCTCGTTTTCCTTTCGCGGAACCTCAAAGGAAGCCAACCATGTTGGGGGTCCGTTGATACAAACCTCTATGGGGGCATTCGTTTGGAGGATTCCCTTTGGAACCCACCAAGTTTTTGGCTTCGGAATGGTCCAAGCCAACCCCAGTCAGGTTCCGTGCAGGGGAGGTACGGGGACCCCAACAATTGCTGGTCTTCCTTTTGGTTTCCCTTTGCATGAAGGTTAAACACGACAGCGCCACTGGCCGAAAGCGCATGCGCACACAGCGACACCCCACTTCGGATAATCTGTGTTTGCGGTGTGACCCGGTCTTTGGAGCAACATGTTGTTTGTTTTTTTGATGGCCGGGAAAAGTACGGCAAGACGTCGGGAAGACTGCAGGAATTGGGTAGACATACAGCTGGAAACCCTGAAAACCGACAAGGCGGAGAACAAAAACGCTCACGGTCATAAGGGAACAACACGGGCTTTCCGTTTCTCGCCCCAGGTCCAGAAGTGTTGAAGTGTCGGACCCCCTACAGCTGTATGCCGTGTACAAGGAACACCAATGGAATCCAAGCGGGCTGGGCTGGACAGTTCCAGAACAGTAGGGAGCCCTTCAAATGGCTTGTCTGGTGATGCCCTGCCAAGAAGGTGTTTCTGTGTTTGACATCCTTTCATGGGCTCAATCCAACAAGTTTCAGGAACGCCAGGATCCCAAGATTGACATGCTTAATTGGTTTGGCCTGCTCCAGGCTGTGCGATTCATTTGACCATGGCATATGCAACTTGCTGAATCATTTCCCTACTGCAGATGTGTATCTAAATAAGAGTTTGAGCCGGCTAAAAGAGGTCACGTTGCACAGTCTGTGCTTGACTTGCTCTGATTGCTTCTTTCGTGAGTATTTCCTGGCAGCGTTCAAACAAGGGCAGGTTTTCGGAGCTACACAGCGGACACTCTAAAAGAAGAAATCAAAAGGGGGTGGACAACCTGCATTTTGGCCAGGCCCCATGTTTGTCAGTCAGAGATTGATAGTGTCCTCGAGGAGATGAAGGAAGAGCATGAAAAGCGCATGGACGAACTGAAGCAGACGGTTCACGAGCAGCTGTGCAGGATCTCTGCAATCTCCTTGCCCCAGCGCAGTTCGCGCACAGAACATCGAGTGGCTCACGTTTGATGGCTTTCAGATGCATGCAGCATTCTGGGCCCGGTCGGAGAGGCACTTAGCAATTTCTGCAAGGTCGCTTTCTGTGATTTTCATGGGTTGGCCTATGTAAGCAGCGCCCAACACCCCCTATCCGCCATTTCAACAGGTGTTTCTACTGGTGTAGTTGGGCTTGAAGTAAAGCCTACAAGCCTTAGCTTCGGCTTGGTAGAATTTAACCATGGGATCTGGGCGCTGTTCGCGTGTCCCTGACTTTGCCCCCTGGTGGGCTCCAACCTCCCTGCACGTCGCTTGAGCCAATGGGCCGGTGGCTCTCAGTAGATCTGGGGCTGTAAGCCAGCCGGATGGCCAGCAACGCCAGACTTGAAATGTGCGCCAAAGGTGCCCCAAACCAAGAGCAGATAGAAGTGCTCGAAAACTTCAGATCTAGATGGGCCCCCATTTAAGCCTCTTCTTTTCTATCCCATGCATGCTGGGGTCCTCAGTGCTTTTCCGCATGCGAGAAAATCGGGTTCCTGCAAAGCAGGAATTCGAGGCGAAGAATCCATGGGCAACGGCTAAAGGCTCGCTGACCGCCCAATGTATAAATCTGACGCTCAGTGGTGATCAGCTCACATTCTGCGACAGGCCTCCCCTTGAGGGGCAGAGTCTGTCACTGAACTCCAAATATCCGGAGAGCTCCCAATCTGAGGTCGGCGCTCGCCCGCATTTCCCTCGCATACTGCGAGCTAGCACAAAAGCTTTTTGTACGTAGTACGTCGACCATTGGAATGTCAGTTCTGTTGCCTATCAACATTTGCCACCAACCGTCCCATGTCCGGCCCGCAGCCATAGATCATTTGTTTGGAGATTCAAGAGCCAAGTGTCAGCGGGTTGGAGAGCTACACTACTCGTAATTCGCATGTTATTGCTTGCAGAAGCATGGCATGCAGTGCAACCAGCCAGCGCCCCAGTGCAACCGGGGATTTTCATTGAACGGGGGCAACTCAGCACACATACACACACAGAACCTGGAAGCACAACTCACTGCCTTTGTATCGTAGCCAAAAGCGTATCATGGCGGCAGATGATGATGGCAAGGCCACATCGCAGAACGTAGTCGTGGTCTCCAGGCCTCGCAAATGTTAGCTAAAGGCCGCAGGGAACCATCAGTTGTCATTGTCAATGAATAGCCATTGTGGTGTCTCGGCAATGCCAGTTTCAGGATATCAGTTCGATGCCTCGACCTAGCAGCCCTTTGAACTACATATTTTCTGGTTCCCATGATTTGTGCAGAGCAAGATTCTGTTTTGCACTCAGGACCGAGCAAACAGAAGTATTGTTGTGAGAATGAGCTTCCATGAACAGTTTGCGGGTGCGTGGTTTCGAATTGGAGGTGTGTGACTTCAGGGGGCGAAACGCAAGGAGGAATCTCTCCTTTGCACTCGCAGTTTCAATCCAAACACGTTTGATAGGCCAACAATAATTTACAAAGGTTCGCAAGTGAGCTTCTATAATTGCGCTCACATAAAACATGCAGGTTTGGAGTGGTCATATCGCTTCAGGGGCAGTTCAAGTCTGAGGTCAAGAGGGGCTGCACTTTTCAACTGAGACCTCTCCAGGCGGCCTTCGCCCGGTTTCTGGATGCCAGCTGGGAGATTTTCCGCCGCCAGATGATTGAGGCACCGGTGTCAAATTGTTTGTCAGTTGCGTTTGCCAAACAATTGTGTTGATTGCCGCC